TTCGCTTTCTGCCTGGAATTTATATGTCACCTTTCCCTTACTTCGACGACTCCACAGGTGGTAATCGAAAAAAGAAAAAAAAAAAAAATAAGAAAGAAAAAAAAAAGGACAACTTTCAGAACACCATATATTTATACTTGATAATTATTTTATTTTATATATATATATATATATACACATATCACACACATATAAATATATTTGTGAATATGTGAATAGGTAAACGAATAAATTGCGAGAAGAAAATATGTTCTGGTCAGGTGAATGATTTATATGTATATAAAAAATATATATATAAATAAATAAATAAATAAAAGAGAAAAAAGTATCTAGATTGCAATGCCTCGAAGTCTCGAAGATTAGATATATAGAAAAAGTCTCGACGAGTAAAATTTTTCAAGTCACGTAATAGCCATAAAAGGGAAAAGTGTGAAGGGAAGTGTGAGGAGGGGGAAGAGAGATAATAGCTAGGGGAAAGTAAAAATTACTAAAACCCAAAGCCGACATGATATGTGAAAATCCATGATGATTCCTTCACTCGGTTAACGATAAATTCTAATGGTTCTCAGGATATTCTTGTTATCATTCTCCTCCTCCTCCTCCTCTTTCTCCTCTTTCTCGCCATTACTTAATTCTAATTTTTCTAATACGTCAAATGGAAATTTTTTTATTTCACACGATCACATTTATGTATATATATAGATTCGAGTAAGTAAACTAATTGTAATTCTATTTCTTATTTCTAATATATTATTTATTGGAGATTAAATATGAGGAATGATTTATTAATGAGAATAATTCATTTACGTGAGTCAAGTCTAATTAAGATAACTCGAAATCGATGGATACCTTAAAGATTTTTTAGTGAAACGTGATAAAAGGACATCTTAATAAAGATCCCTGGTGGATCCTTCATATCGTGAATTCTTCGAGATCCCAACATTCCCGTTGGTCGCTGCATTACATTCCCCTTTATATGCTATATACATACATATATATATATATATATGCTCTCGATTCTTCGAAATGACGATAGAACGTTAGAATTTTAATCTTTCGTTAATAAACGTCGAAGACGATATGATGAAATTGATTAACAAAATCTATTAATTCTATTAATTACATAAAATCTGTTAATTATTCAATGATAATATTACAGTGTCTTACATCCCACAGGCACGACTACGATTAAAATAAACGATTACTCGATATTATTATTTGACAAATAATAAATCTTTAAATAATCATAAAATAATCATAGAATGAAAATATATATATATATATATTTATATATATTCTCATATAGTATATATATATATACATATATATATATAAACTGAAATAAGCCAGTAATAGGAGAGTATAGGGTGGTATTGCGAGTCCAATGGTGGTTGGACGAGTTGAAAATAGTGAGGTTGGCGGGTATATGATGGGGTGAAGGGGTGATGAGGGGTTACGAGTAGAAGTAGTAGGAGAAATAGGAGTAGGAGAAAGAGTAGAAAGGAGGAGGGATGAAGGGTTCGTCGTGGGTTCTCGGGTTTGTGCATGCGCCAAAGTGATCTCTTTGACGCGCGCGACTCTTCCTCCTTCCTTCCGGTAGGATCGAGAAGAGGAAAAGCCGAAGAAGCAGACGCAGAGAGACGCAGACGACGGCGGGCAGAGCGACGGCCCTGAGCCGGTTACAACGGGGTGAGATGCACCCTTATCGCTCTTATCGCTATCAATCGACTGTGGGGTTTCCATCTGGGAGCACCGCAAATACAAGAACAAGACAGTTTCAACTACGTTCTTGGTTAATCCTAGATTAGCACGTATATAAAAGACGCACACTAACATAACTAAGGAACGGAAGAAACGGGAAACGAACGACTTTTCTTCTTAATCATTCAAGTGAGTACGATCTTTCTATAATTTTTTGTTTTTTGTCTTTCTTTTTTTGTCTTTTGCTCTTTTTTTTTTTCCTTTTCTTACGACACACTCGATTTTATTTTATCGTCCCTTTCAAACGATATTTTTGTCAAACGATAGCTTTTTTTCTTCTTCTTCTTCTTTTTTTTTTTTTTTTCATTTGACATTCGAATGATTTGTTGTTTAGAAAAGAAAATTGGAGAAATCGTTTGGATCTCGCTTTTCTTTTTTTCTTTTTTACCATTGCGTCGAAGCAAGTGATTCGAGTGATTACTAGTTTAATTTAATACGACGAAGAAGAAGGGAAGTAAAGAAAAAAGAGAAAGCAAAAAAAAAAAAGAAAAGGGTAAAGAGAAAATAGAAGAAGAAAATAATGAAAAAGATAAAGAAAAAGTAAGGATTGAACGGATCTTTAAAATTAGCTACGTTCATTAATACTTATTAATTTTTTTGATAGATTTCTTAAAGATTCACGATCGAGACCATAGATTTATTACATTATTGAACATTTAAATGGTTGTCTCTTTGTGATACCTTTCGTTTCAAACCTGAGAATTTCAATTACACTTTGCGGGGGAGGGGGCGAGAAGGGCGTCAGGTGCGCATTTCATGCACTTTCATTCGAACCTGTGTATTCGAACCAAACACACATATCCACGCACATACACACACACATGTATATCCTGCGGGAACAATTCGTCCACTTCCCGACGAAGCTTAAAGTCCCTCTTTATCTTACCTTAATACGGTATTTCCTGATCGTCCCATACGTCGTGATCCTCCTTCTTCTCCTCCTTCTCCTATTCTTCCTGAACCCCCTTTCTCTTTTCTCCTACCCCCGCTCAACCGTACCCTCTCGCCCCGTTCTCATTTCCACGTGTCATAGCCACGCTTTTATCCTCGAGTGTCCTCTTTCCTTCTTCATTTAACAATAGGACATTGTCGTTAAACGAATCTATATTTGAGTCACATCGGGAAAAATTTCATAACTGGAATACGTATCGTTAATATTGAAAATTAAATACGAAAAGAATTTATTAAGCGTGAAGATTTAATAAGGTAATCACCTTATAATCGTTCAATTAAATCTGATCGTTCATAATAAAATGTCGAAAGTAAAAAAGGTAAAAGGTAAAAAGCAAAAAGGACGTGATCCCTCTTACTGTCCTTCTCCGATCCCTTCCATCATCAAAAAAAAAAAAAAAAAAAAAAAAAAAGAAAAGAAAACAGAAAAAAAGAAAATCGAAAAGAAGAAAGCGAAAGATAGAGAAAAGTTGCTATCGGGCAAGGGAAAAAATAAAAAGAATGTTCGTACGATATTTGAATGAAACTTTAACATAAAAAAAACGAGAACGATCGTCCGATCCAATTGCTTCTTATCAGAGATTCCCTTCCACCAATCATCTGTCCATCTGTCCATCTGCCTATCTACCTACCTACCTACCTACAACAAGCAACAGGAGCAACAGTCACCGTCATCTTTCTCTTTATCACCTATTCCCTTCTTCTTTCATAGCTTCGACAAAATCATTCGACGCGATACTATCTATCTAACAGTTGAAGGGTCTCCTAAGGTTAATAGAGTGATCGGTAACAAAGTTATAAAGCAATCTGCATAAACCTGACCCAACCCGGGGTACTTTGCACGACCCCGGGAGTTCTGGGCGCAATGGTGAAGAACAGGCAGTGTCGCAATTACCGAGAATAATACGATTACTTGCTCGTCAAGGACCCTGTAACTGAGATGGTTGTCACGGCCCATACTCTACCACACCTCCTGAGATTGCCACGCGAACAATGATCTTTTCGAATCTTTTTGATTTTTTTCTTCTTCTTTTTCTTTTTTTGAAAAATTTTTTTTCTCTTCTCTCTCTCCCTCTCTCTCTCTTTTTCTTTCTTTTTTCTTTTTTTTTTTTGTTTCTTTTGTTATCGTGTAGTTGCTGTCGTCGTCGTTGTTGTTGGAAGATAAAGTACATTATTTCGAACTCGTAAATCACTAGAACGTCGACGAGAAATAGGTATAGTAAATGTCACGGTTATAAATTTATTTATTTGACTCTTATCGAATCGTAAAGTGTAATTTTCTTTCGTATCTCTCTCTCTCCCTCTCTCTCTCTCTCTCTCTCTCTCTCTCTTTTTATTTCTTTCTTTCTTCGTGTGCATGTGTGTGTCATCCTCTCTTTCTCTCTCTCTCTCTTTCACTCTCACTCTTTCTCTTTCTTTCCTTCTCATTCCCTTCCAATCCTTTTGTCCAACTATCACGCCTGTTCCCATTTACATTTACATTTCCTCTTTCTCCCTCTCTCTCTCTCTCTCTCTCTCTCTCTCTCTCTCTCTCCTATTTCTGTTCCTATCTCCTTTCCTTTTTTTCCCCCTCTCGTATTTCGCATCGAAGGATTTTTCAGGATACCGGCTGGATATTCAGGGACGCGATTCAGTCGTTCACGATTTAACCAAGAAATAGAAACGAATTGAGATATAAGAGATGATAATATCGTTCCTTTTAAATTTTCATTTTGAAGATTTCACGAAAATGATTTCGGAACGAATTGGAAAACAAGATTCGAAGGATTTCCTTTTTTTCTTTTTCTCTTCTTTTTTTCTTTTTTTCTTTAATATTTTTTTAATTCCTTAATCGGATATGATTCCGCGATAGTCGTCTCGAATAGGTTGTCTTGTCATGCGATTATAACGTCACACGCACGCACAAACACACACATATATATATACATACATACACACACACACACACACATACATATATATTCGTACACAGAAGGTGCACATGCATCACGCACGTACTTACGTTATATTATATTTTATTTTCCTTTTATTCTGTCACACCCATTGGATTATTAATGATGACAAACATCTGGCGATATTCAAAACGAAAAAACAGTAAACGTCGGACCATCTGCGCGATCTAATCGTTCTGTTTCTCTCTCTCTCTTTCTGTCTCTTTCTATCTCTTTCTGTCAATCGTCTGCTTACGTGAGAGTTTTATTTCGTGTGACACTTGTAAGAACATCGTATGGATGTAATAGCATAGAGATAAAATATTATAAAAGTGATTTCTTTCTTATTATTATTCATTCTATATATATATATAATAAATAGATTGCAAAAGTATGGTTATCGATAGTTACAATGGTTATAGTTTACGAGATATATTTATGATCGAAGTGTTCATATCGTTATAAGAAATATTTATTTATTTATTTATTTCGTCCTTCTCGTCGTCGTTTGTATCAGTCGTGCTTGTGTCTGTGCGTGTTTGTGCGCGTGTGTGTGTATATACGCGTGTACAATCTTTCATCGATCATCGATCTATCATCGAAAATCATTACCCATGAGAGATCGTCGACAAATTTTTTCTATCATCATCGATTAAAACTATCCAATTTTTGCCTACATATATATATATTTTTGCCGAATTAGTAATAATCATCTTAAAGAAGGTGCAAAACTTTTCGAATCGTTTATAATAAGAAATATAAATGTGACTTTCGAGTTTCTACGAAGCTGATCTCAAGATTCAGTAGGTGTGTGCGGAAATTGTGCGTGTTCTTTTCAACGAGGGATCGGGGGTAAGAGGAGAAGGAGAAGGAGAAGGTGGAGGAGAAGGTGGAAAAGGGAGGTTTGGTTGATATAATATATCACCGTAGTTAAGGCCGTAAGTTAGCAAAGCAATTGCTCGGAAAACCTTATGAAACGTAAAGACAAAGTAGCTTGTGATGGAGGAAAAAAAAAAAGAATAAAGAAAAAAAAGGGTTGCTCGTATTACTCGCACGATCAGGCTTGATAATACAAACAGGAGATAATTTCCTCCCACTCCCAACCCCCACTCATTCTCACCTACCACCGGTTTCAGGGGGTTCGCGATTAAGAAATTGGATTCTTTTTTTTTTTATTTTTATTTTTATTTTATTTATTTATTTATTTTTTTTTTTTCATTTCGATTGGGTTTATGAAAGATTAATGAAGAAGAAGAATGAAGGAAGAACGAAAGAACAAGAACAATCATTTTTCTCCATAAGTCCCTTCTTTTAGTTTCGCGTTAATAGACAAAAAGATAATCGATAATAGACAACGATAGGACTCGATCTACTTGTTGAACCACGAAGCAACAGTTTGCTCTTTTAAACTGCTACTACACTTACTCCTCATCCCTTATATATTTTTCTCTTTTAATTCTCCTTCGTAATTTTCTAATTTTCGTCTCATTAAATTTTGCTCTTTTTCTCTCTCTTTTCTCCTTTTCTGTTTTTTTTTCTCAAATTCAAACGATTGATTCTTCGTTGTGATCAATGATCATAGGATTTATCATATTTCGCTATAGCATATTGTTCCCTGAAACTTTCACGTAATCCGTGATCAAAAGTTTAATCCTTTGCAGTCGATAGGGAGCAAAAAAATCATTTCTATTAAATCACAACAAAGTATTGACAAAATTAAAAAAAAAAAAAAAAAAAAAAATCAAGAAAAAGAAAAGAAAACAATTAACAATGGTATAGATAAGGAAATTAATTTTTTGGCGCTTTTGCGACCTAGAGAATAGATCTAGTGAATAGAAATGTGATGTGCCACTTGTACGGCGGCATTCAACTACAAAGGATTAAGTTACTCTGTCAGAACTGATCTGATTAAATCCAATTCATTCGACAAAACTGAGTTATACGTGATACCACAGTATAGTAGAGTACAGTACAGTGAGAAATTGTTCAGACATGATAACACTAGTTAATATCTTTAACTGGGATACATTAATTTAACTCAGCAAGAATCGTAACTTCGGTGATACATGCTGGTCGGTGAATAGATTAAACGATTTTTTTTTTCTCTTTGTCAAAGGATTATTACTCGACGTTCGTCTCTAAATTATAATCTCTTTTCTTTCTTTTCTTCTTCTTTTTTTTTTTTTTTTTTTTTTTGTTAGCACCGAACTATCCGAATTCTATATTAAAACTCAAACGACTTTATATTCCTCGATCGTACACGTTCATACTTGTGAAATATCGTAATATCGGTCCCAGCCCATTCCATCCCTCCCCCATCCAGCCCCCAATTACTGTGTACTACCCCCATATATATATATATATATATATATATATATTTGAAAAAAAAAAGAAAAAAAAAGAATCAAAAAAGATTTCTCATTTTCGGTGACTTGCTTTCAAATCTTTTTTTTTCTCTTTTTCGAGAGCTCGGACTCCCTTTTAAAGCATGCCCGAGAGAAGGGTTGATAGTCACGTTTTACAATAAATTCGCTGACCTCAACTCGGTCGACAAGATTTTTCTATTAGCGGACTTGCATCAACGTTACCCTCTCCCTCCCCTCACCGTCCCCCCTTTCTATTCTCCCTTTTTCTCTTTCATATTATCAACTACCTCGTCGGTCCCCTTCCCTCTCTCTCTCTCTCTCTCTCTCTCTCTCTCTCTTTCTCTTTCTCTTTCTCTTTCGTCCACCTTTTCCTCCCACCCACCTACAGAGAGGTAGGGGATTGTATAAAATTAAAAGAACAAAAAACAAACAAACAAACAAAAAAGAAGCAGAAAACAACGAGGAAAAAAGTATTCGTGTGCGTGTGCACGCGAGAGATATGGGAGAGAGGAAAAAAAAGAAAGAAAGAAAAACAAACAAACAAACAAAAAATAATGGAAGCAAAAAAGAAATGGGGGGAAAAAGAAAAAAGAAAAACAAACGAACGAAAGGAGAAAGGTGCAAACGTAGTGGATAGATAACGAGGTCGAATGAGTCGGCTTGCAATCAAGGGGGGCCCACTCCATCAACGGGCAACCAAGCGAGCTTGTCAATTGCAAAATCCTGTCGAACCCTTTCAATGAACCCCTAGAACGCGTCAACATCCCTCTCGACTCTGCCAATGCAGCTTTCACATTCCCTTTCTCTCTCTCTCTCTCTCTCTCTCTCTCTCTCTCTCTCTCTCTCTCTCTCTTGCACTCTCTTTTCGTCCTTCGAAAATGTTTATGTGAATAATTTTCAATTCGATGACGTTTCAACAATTAAAATCTTTTATAAAGCTACGAGTGGATTTTGATGATTGCGAGTGTATTATAAAAAGAAAGAAAGAAAGAAAAAAAAAAAATATATATATATATATACATATTATAAAAGAAATATAATATCCATAGATGTTTAAAATTCGACGAATGAAAATCAATGATCGATTAATTCATATTTCTTTTAAATACTACATATCATAGATTTAGTTTAGTTTTACTTATAAAAGCAAGAACATGTATGTATGTGTATGTGTGTGCGTTTGCATGTTCGAACAAAGCTGAATTTATTTTTTATTCGGAATAAATAATAGCATGATGATAGGGGCAGTTTTTTCTTTTTTTTCTTTTTTTTTTCCTTTTCTTTTTTTATCCCTAGTATTTCAATACTATACGGGAAAACTAAGGAATTAATATAACAACACGTCAGTATAAACGGGCGTAACAAAGATTGACAAATGAAATGAAACGAAATGAAATTCGTGGAGAGGAACAAAAAAAAAGGGTTAGAAGGACAGGGGTTCTTGACGGATACTTTGGTAACGTTTAACGATAAGTGTCCACCCTATCTAATAGGGAGAAAGTAGAAAAACCTCGTACAAACAGACTGGCGCATGGTCATTCTTCGTCGTAATTACCGAGAAGATAAGAATGAGGGTAAGTGCAAGAGAGAGAGAGAGAGAGAGAGAACAAGAAAAAGAGAAAGAGAGCAGGGGGAGAGGGTGAAAATGTTCTGATAGAAGGAAGGCATCGGAGCTTGTAAGTGGCAAGACAAGAGCCACTCTTTTCTGAGAATAATACTTCAACCCCCCATGGGAGTTGCCTTTCAAGAAAAATGCTGATTGCTTCCCTTCCATTTCTCCATCTCTAACTTAGCAACCCTCTCTTTCTACTATTATTTCCATTTTATACTTATGAATCATCGACTATACGTAAGCATACCTAATAAAGTACGGTTTTATATATATATATATATATATATATGTGTGTGTGCGTGTATAACGTCGTACATTAATTCTCGCTATATGATTGTATCTATCAAGATGACAATATTCAGTCTCGTGAGAGTAAAAAGTTTATTATCTATTAATTTCGAGATAAATATTTTTTCAAATTCGTCTCGATATTCGTACTAAGTCGAAGGCAAATTTTTTTTTTTAATTAAAGTAATAAAAAAAAACATTTATATATAAATTGGGACGATAGTATAATAGTTCTCAATGATTTTAGATTTTAAAGTAAGTGTGTACGTATCAATAAGACAGACAGAAAGAGAGAGAGAGAGAGAGAGAAAGATAAATAGATAGAGAGAAAGAGGGTGAATCATAACTGCCATTAAAGCTAGCCTTTTCATCGAAGCGAGCGTGAAAATTAGGTGGCTTAAAAGCATCAGGTAACTTAGTTATTACGTATAAAGAGAAGTGGCGAGGGTGTGAAGTGCAGAAACGAAACGGTACAAGGGTAGAGCTCATCGGGGGTAACACAGGAAGTGCCGTTAAAAGCACGTAATTGATACGGTTAATTGTGTTTTGTTAAATGAATGGGAATTAGGTGACTGCCTATCGTGATACAGTTATTATTATTATTATTATTATTATCATTATTATTATTATTATTATTATTATTATTATTGTTATTATTAATATTATTATTATTATTGTTATTATTAATATTATTAGTGTTATGAAAGAAAGAGCGATGTGAAATTTTCATCGTAGGAGGGCGTTGAATTTTTTTTCTTCTTCTTTTTTTACTTTTTTAACTATTTTTTCTTTGATAAGAATAACGGAGCGTAAAATTTTCACAGAAAATGTTGGGATACTTAAAGAAAAAGATAGATAGATAGAGAGTAAGAGAGTGAGAGAGAGAGAGAGAGAAAAAGAGAGGTAGAGAGAGTACTCGCGATAAAATTGTCACGAATAGACGTGACGATCAGGGACTCGTAAGTGGTAGAAAATCGGTTCGCGAGTGGCTAAGAATTTACGCTCGAACGAACACATCGTTTTCACTTAACTACATACATACATATACACACATATATATATATATAGTAAAATAAAAATGATCGTCATTGAGACGACGAGAAAGTTTCGATCGTTCGTCGAAGAACTATTTCGTCAATTTAAAAAAAGAAAGAAAGATTTAAAAAGAAAATAAAAAAAAGAAAAAGCAACTCGATATTCGAAGGAGAATGATATAAAAACGAGATAAAAACAAAGATGACAAATGAAATCGAAATAAAATAAGATTCGTCCAATAATGAAAATTTGAGAAGAGAGATAAACGAAGAAAATCGAAGTAAAACGAAGTAAAAGTTAAGGGACACGTAGTACCGCGCGGGGGTTAAAGGTGAGGGTTGAGGACGTAGATGAGGATAAGAATGAGGGTAAGGATAAGAGAAGGGTAGTTTGAAGATAGAGACGAGGTAAAAGTGGTAACGTCGTTGTGTGAACAGTATGTGTCTTGAAGAATCCCAACGAATGGACCTAACGTAGTATTTAATTAAAAGCTTGCGCGAGCGAACGCTTTAGAGCGCATTTAAGCGCCTTCGAGCACTGCATACCTAGAGCGCACTTTCAAAACTAGATCGAAATATTCACGGCGAATGAATGCGTGAAATAAATGGCCAAGTGTTTAATACAATACAACCAATTTGCGGGTTCCTTTATTACGGACACGAACTAGAACACTTTTATATATATATATATATATATTTTTTATTTTATTTTACACGAGTATTCATTACTGATAGGAGCAATCGAGTATACAACGTGTCATCAACACGATTTCTTAATTATTCAAAAATCAAGAAATATTTTGAATTAATATTATTGATCGATTTTATTCCTTTTTTTTCGATTAGAAATAGAAAGACAGAGAGAGAGAGAGAAAGAGAAAAGAAGATGAAGATTTAAAATTCTTTATTTTAAATTGGATCGATCGAGAACAATAAGACGATAGAAATCATTTATTATGATCTATTTTTTGTTTCTTCATATAGATCGGATTAAAGATATAGAAGAAGAGAATGGGAACCGCAGAATGGAGTGCGTGGCTCCAGCGATGTCGAGAATCACGAAGGCTTGTCCTCGTGATAGTTGCCATCGCTTTGCTACTCGACAACATGCTTTTAACAACGGTCGGTGAGTAATTTATTAAAAATTATACGAAAATTATGTATATATATATATATATATATGTCTGATGAGCCACACTCAAGAGAGTATAAGATAGAATAATTAATTTTATAGATAAGTGCAATTGTTTGATCAGTATCTTAACATAAATTTAGATAAAAAAAAAAAGTTAACAACATATGTCTCATCTCATTGAATTTAATTAAAAAAAAAGAAATATATATATATATGTATACACATTTTATTTTACTTCGCAAAGATTAAAGAAACGAAAACTTTCTTTCATCTACTATCGTTTATTTCGAATCCGTTATCTAACCTTCAGAAACCTTCGACGAAGTTTTAACGAGCGGCGTGAACTCCTTTCGTGTGTATCTTTATGGCCGATTACACAACCGCTGATTTGATAAAAGTGAGAACGTTGGGTGGTATCGTCTACTACGACGAGATTTCGAAAGAAACGAAAAGCTATACCGTGTGCAAAGTAACGACCGACGAGTATTACAAGAGTCAATTACACCTAGACCGATGTAAATGTCGAATCGATTTTTTTTCTTTCTCTTTTCTTATTTTTTCTTTTTTTTCTTTCTTTTTTTTTTTTTTGCTCTCTCAACGACTCCCCTTCGTACGAAGAACATGAAAGGATAATAATACTAAAAAATAAGTTTGATATTAGAAATATGACGGTATTACAATGCCAATTATAAATTTCCACAATTAAATAATTTTCTACAAGTTTGCTAAAATAATTGTACATAAAAAAAAAAATATATATATATATATATATATATATATATTTATGTATGTATATAACAGGACAATCTTGTTAAGTACAAAATAGAAAAAATTAATAGGGACGTTCCCTTCGTCGATGACAAATCCATGACGGTGAGTAAAAGAGTACAGGATTGAGCTAAGGTGAGTGGATAAGTGGGTGAGGGTGGTGAGGTCGGAGTGGGAGTTGGGTTCGTAGAGAGGGGGAGGAAATTGGAAATCGTATCACGGGGACATAAGTCGAAGGTAATATCGGCTCGAGGAATCGGAATCCTCGGTGAAAGCCTGAAAGTAGACGGGTCTGAAGAAGGTCTTGACGAGATTAGGGTCTGATCCTCGAGACGGAAAACAATATCCCTAGGGGGGGCCGTCTAAGCGCAACTCCGCTTTTCTTTTTTTTCTTCTTCTTCTTTTTTTCATTTTTTTTTTTTTATTCTTCTTCTTTCTTTCTTTTCCCCCAACAAAAATTTCAACGACGAACGCGCGATTAAATTGTTCTCTCTTGGTGTGAACGAGACGTGAACGACAAGAGAAAAAAGAAAAATAAAAAAAAAAGAAGATACACACGTTAGTCGAACAGATCATCGACTAGATTTTCTGAATGAATTTAATAATCTAAAAAAATTACGTACACGAAATCATTAAGTACACGAAGCTATACACGCACGGATAGTACCGATCGTGATTAATTTTCTTGTGCTCTTATCTTTTTTATTTATTTACTTATTTTTCTTTTTTTTTTTTTAAGAGAGTGTGTAGACAGAAACACTCATACAATTGCCAATATACTACTTACACGAGATCACGTGCGGATTAATTTTCTCGTAAAATTTGTTTTCTTTTCTCTCTTAAGCGGGTTATTCATATAATTTCTAAGATACAACTTGTACACGGTCGTATATCGAAATCGTGAAAGGTGACAGAGGTGGGTGGGGGTTAAATCGGGGTGGAACGGGTATGGGATGGGGGTTGGAAAAATCGTATCTTAGCTCTTGACGGTCGATCCCTCCCTTAAGTCGAGAAATGGTCACGCAATTTTCCGGCTTTTAAACTTTCCCACTCGACTAAATCACGAACGTTTTCCCTTTTGACTGTCATGTATAATTCAAAGAACACTTCATTCTAGTGCGAAGGAGTATCAGGGATACGTCGGGTAAACGTATGGAGAGTGTGGAGGGACGGTGTAGGTTTTCCTTGTGCATTATTATGCTACCACCAATCCGAATAAGTGCTCATGCATTTATGTAGCTCGACGAGAATCCTCGGACGGTGATGGTGAAACCCAAACTCAAACCCAAACCCAAATGTCGTCGTTGTCTGGCAAAGAAAGGATTCGTGAGGAAACTTCGATAGGACCGATTTGTTTAACGACGTCAATGGGGGATAGTGTAACGTTGATGATGGTAGTAGAGAGATCGAGAGGGTGGACGAGGGTGAGACAAGATGTAGGAGGTGGATTTGCTACGTGGTACGAACTTTAACTATCGTATCATACACGAATCAATGAATATTTCTCGTTGAGAACAGGAATCCACCTGTTGCCGGTATGCTTATTTGTAAATTCAACGCCATTCAACGTCAGTGAGCTAATAAAATCGATCGGATATTATCGTAAACGATAACACCAACGCATTACTGACGTTCGTTTATACATAAGCATCGATAAAATATCGTCTCTGGATGAATATCTGATCGCTCAGGTTGGATAAAACAAAAAAAAAAAAAAAAAAGAAAGAAAAAGAAAATAAAAAAAAAGATTGGTTTTATATTTAACAACCCTTTTTGGAGGTGCTGGGATTTGAACCCAGGACTTTCAGCATGCGAAGCAGACACTCTACCACTGAGTTACACCCCCAATCTTATCGATGTTAACTCGTATGAATTTTATAAACGAAATGTTATTGTTCATCCCTATATTTATTTGTGTGTGTATACGCACATGCATGCATAAATGCGTGATCATTTTTTTATGTACGATACAATATATATATAAAATAAATAAATAAATAAAAATGTTAACAACATTTAATATATATATAATATTTCTTAATGTTCTGCATAGTTCCAATTATTCCGGAATTTCTCTACGACATAAAACACCCTAACGCAACTCTAAGCGAGCATCTTGATGGAAACGTTAATCATAGATCAGGGATTACAACGACTACAACTACTACTCCGACAACGACTATTACAACTACTACGACTACAACCTCGCCGATGTCAACACCGTCAACAACACCGAGATGCCCTTGTCCCCTTAATATATCCAATAATAATAATAATAATTCTCCATTGGAATTTCTTTCTATTACAACAATGTCCCAGGAATTGGCAGGTGATTCGTTATAACTTTATACGATAAATGATGATGCAAGTAATACATATTGATCGATTTTAAAGGAAAATAAAATTTAAAAAAATATATATATATTTTTTTTTTTACGATCGATTCGTATTGATTTAGAATCGACAACGATAAACTCGACGACGATCGAACAAAAAGAAAAGGAACAAAGGCATAAAGAATTGTTGGAAGAAACAGTGGCCGTGGGGATGATGTTTGCATCGAAAGCATTCGTACAATTGCTTGCTAATCCTGTTGTTGGACCTCTTACTCATAGGTAAATATTCTTTGAAATCTAGTACGAATTTTTTTGGACTTTAAAAATTTCTTTCCTTCTCTTTTTGTTTTCTTTTTTTCATTCACAATAAGGTTTTGCAAAACAAATTCATTGCTTCGTGAAATTTTTCTTTTTTCTTTACAAAAATTCATCCCTCGGATCGTTGGTCTCTCGATAATCTCTCGAGATTAAAAAAAGAAGAAAAAAAAAAAAAAGAAAAGTAACGAGAAAAAAAAGAAAAAGAAATGCGCTCGAAATTAATATTTCAAAGTACACCTTACAAAATTATAATATCAACGATCTATCTAATGAAAATCTACATCTACAGTTTTTTTCTTTTCTTTAATTTTTTTTTTTTTCTTTTTCGATCTTCAATTACAAGTTTCACAGCGAATTACATTTGTTTCTGTTATTCATTATAAAAGTGCTTTTCTATATATATAAGGAAAAAAAAACAAAACAAAAAATTTCGTAGAAAAAATTATATCTGATCAATGAAAAAATTGAATTTGATTTGCAAAAATCTGTAGAAAAAAGAGTTCGTAAAATCATATAAAAATTTTTCCTCCACCCTAATTAAATTTAATTTGTGTGTGTATGCTTGTGTGCCTTATCAATTAATATAAAATGAAAATTACAATAAGATGAATCTTTTTCTTGGAATTTTAGAATAGGCTACAGTATACCAATGTTCACTGGATTCATTATTATGTTCATATCGACATTGATATTTGCATTTGGTCGAAGTTATGGGATATTATTTTTGGCACGTGCACTACAGGGTATTGGTTCCTCGTGTTCAAGTGTGTCAGGTATGATAACTAATTAAAATTTTTTTACTTATATTCTTTTCTTTACCATCTAACAGAGATAACTCTCGTATATATTTACTTATCGAAGAGATTAGAACATCTCTGTATAAAAATTCTTAAAAAAAAATTAATAAATAAACGTTCTTTCCTCCTCTCTCTCTCTCTCTCTCTCCATACTTAAAAAAAAAGGTATGGGCATGTTGGCGGAGAGATATCAGGATGATAAGGAACGTGGAAATGCGATGGGTATAGCACTCGGTGGACTTGCTCTTGGTGTTTTAATTGGACCACCATTCGGTGGAGTTATGTATGAATTTGTTGGAAAGTCCGCACCATTTTTAGTACTTTCGGCATTGGCTCTTGGCGATGGACGTAAGTAGATAAATAATAATAATATTTTTTAAATTATTAAAAATTAATAAAAATAAATAAATAAATAATTTTCATGTAAATCGAATTTGATCCTTTCAGTGTTACAACTTTTGATGCTTCAACCATCTGTAGTGTACACAGAAGCTGAACCACCATCTTTGAAATCATTGGTTACTGATCCATATATTATTTTAGCTGCTGGTATGTATATATATATATATATATATATATATATATACATTTTTTTTTCTTTTCGTTTTTTATTATTCTTGACGATTATAAAAAATTTTGTATTAGAAGTTTAAATAAATCAATTTCAGGTGCAATAACATTCGCAAATATGGGAATCGCTATGTTAGAACCAAGCTTACCTATATGGATGATGGATACGATGGGTGCCAGTCGTTGGAAGCAAGGGGCGACATTTTTACCAGCTAGCATTAGTTATTTAATTGGAACTAATCTATTTGGTCCTCTTGGTCACAGGATGGGCAGGTAAGAATCATTAATTCATATTCGCCAACACAAATATTCTCCAGTTGAACCTATGTAAAAATAATTTTTTTTTTTTTTTGTATTATTACGTATACTATATTATATATTAATTTATAAAGCAATATATTTATATACATATATATATATTTTTTCTTTCATTTTGATATTTAATTAAAAGTTTTATGCATATATATATATTTATTTTAATAATTATTGTATTACTTATGTTGAGTATATTGACAAAACCAATATTAAAAGCTACCCATATATCAATCGCCTGGATAGCTCAGTCGGTAGAGCATCAGACTTTTAATCTGAGGGTCCAGGGTTCGAGTCCCTGTTCGGGCGATAATTTTTTTTTCTTTTCTTTTGCTTTATTATTAATCATATTTTAATATATATACATATATATATATATATATATATATATATATATATATATATATATATATATGCGCAATGTATTATAAATAATATCATATTGTAAATTTATTTTACAGATGGTTAGCGTCGTTAATCGGTCTCATTGTAATCGGCCTCTGTTTAATGTGCGTAAGTAGACGATATAAATTTATTAATTCATGAATTAGAATATAAAATGATTTCATTCTAATCCATATATATATATATAAATAATATATAAATAATATATATAAATAATAAATGGATTATATATATATATATATATATGTATGTATATATATATGTATATATGTATATATGTATATATGTATATATGTATATATGTATATATATATATATAGATTGCAGTGACTATATCCGCAATGACTTAGTTGCCAAGACAATATGGCGTTGGCAACTAAGTGATTGCGGGTTTGGCAACTAAGTCGTTGCGGATGTCTGAATCCGCAATCACTTAGTTGCCAAACCCGCAATCACTTAGTTGCCAAACCCGCAATCACTTAGTTGCCAAACCCGCAATCACTTAGTTGCCAAGCCCGCAATTACTTAGTTGCCAAACCCGCAATCACTTAGTTGCCAAGCCCGCAATTACTTAGTTGCCAAACCCGCAATCACTTAGTTGCCAAACCCGCAATCACTTAGTTGCCAAACCCGCAATTACTTAGTTGCCAAACCCGCAATCACTTAGTTGCCAAGCCCGCAATTACTTAGTTGCCAACGGGATATTTTGTTGGCAACTAAGTCGTTGCGGTGACCATATCCGCAATGACTTAGTTGCCAACGCCATATTGTTTTATATTTATATATATATATATATATATATAAAATGTTTTATATATTATATATATATATATATAATATATAAAACAATATATTTTATAAATATTTTAATAAATATTTTAATAATATATATTAAAAATAAAAATATTTTATGATAAAGATCAAACGTTTATCTATTTATCGTTCTTAGATACCACTGGCTAGCAGTATCGATCATCTAATCATTCCAAACGCTGGATTAGGATTTGCCATTGGCATGGTCGATAGTTCAATGATGCCTGAATTAGGATATTTGGTAGATATAAGGCATACTGCTGTTTATGGAAGTGTTTACGCTATCGGTGACGTTGCATTTTGTTTGGGCTTTGCCATAGGTGAGAATCAATGGATAAAATAATAAAATATAAAAAAAGAAATTAAATATAATTATAACGATTAAATATCTAATATTTTCAAATATTTTATATATATTTCACAATAATACTATAATAATTATTAATGAATCAACAAATCTTTCAATGATAATTACGATTAATTATAAAGAATAGATGTATTATTAATAATACGCGATTAAATGAATAAAAAAAAATGAAAATAAAAAAAAAAAAAAGAAAAAAGAAAAAAAAAAAGAAAAAAAAGTTACTATGCATCGGCCGGGAATCGAACCCGGGCCGCCCGCGTGGCAGGCGAGCATTCTACCACTGAACCACCGATGCTTCGATGATATATCATTCACGAAATATTAAGATCAACTCTATATAATACTATCTAAATTTTTTAAAACAAATAAATTTGATTTCTTTTTTTTTAGGACCCGCATTAAGCGGTACACTGGTTAACACTATAGGATTCGAATGGATGCTCTTTGGAATTGCCATTTTGAATTTCATGTACGCACCTTTAATGTATTTCCTCAGAGCGCCGCCGACGAAAGAGGAGAAGAAGGTACGTTCAATTTTATTTTTATATACATATATATATATTTTTTTTTTCTTTTATGTAATAATAACAATATCAATGATATATCTATATTAATTGCAGTCGCTGATAATCGGCGAGAAGTCGTCCGTGCGCTACGTAACGTACCAGAACGAAGAGGATGATCAATAGATCGCAAATCAATCGGCAAATTGTGACGTTTTAAAAACGGTAAATCTAAACTCTTTTCTTTTCTTTTTGTTTTATTATTATTATTATAATCATTCTTTCTTTCTTTCTTTTTCTCTCTCTCTCTCTCTCATTCATTCTCTCTCTCGCTCGTTCGCTTCATATTTATCTCCTTCCTCCTTTTGTTTGTATTTATTTATTTATTTATTTATTATTATTATTTTTTCTTTCTTATATGAATCTATTCAGCTCGCAAACAACGACGTAGTAAAAATTATACCTTCCTATAATACTTTCCCTTTTATCCTATTCGTTCGTCCTAACTCGACGATTTATTTCAACATTATTATTCCGATTCGACGGATAGTAAATAATGTTTAAGGAGAGAATTCAAAAAAACAAAAAAAAAAAAAAATTAAGAAGAAAAATAAAATAAAAAAAAAAGAACAAGAAAAAAACAAATATGACAATTGAATTAGACAATATGTGCATAATAGTATTAAATGTTTAAAATGAAAAATCCCGAGGATCTTGTTAATCTCTCCGAATTAATCGCGCGCACGAATTGATCCAAACCACCTTCTACTCTTGGTATATTATTGATAATAATATATATTATTATTATTATTATTTATAGATAGAAATTAGATACGCGTAAGTGTATAATACAAACGTATAAATATATACAGCACATATATACATACACATATATATACATATATATATATATTTATTATATATAGTACACGTGACAGCGTACGTAGACGGGAATATATTACATTATTCGAAATTATTCAAAGATTATGTTAAGAGAGTTCAAGCATCGATATCGTAGAGATAGAAATTTGTATAATGTAAGTACAGGACATCCTTTATTCCAGCTACTTTGAAATTTTCTCGTTCGTGATGATCGAATGAAAGAAAGATAAGGGGGAAAAGAAAAGAAGAAAAATAAAGAAATAAACAACAAATAAAAAAAAATTCAATGAAATAAATTAATAGAAAATAATTAAAAAAAAAAACAAAACAAAAAAGAAAGAAAGAAAAAAAAGAACTTTTCTCACAAGACATCGCAATTATATCCTGCGTTACTCAACACGTGCTCAGGATAGAGAGCAACCTGATGAAAGCTATAAAATGCGAATAATAAATTTCAATGTGAACTGCTTCTTCATTCATAGTTCGTAATGATTAGGAAAAGAGGAAGGAGAGCTAAAAAAAAAAAAGAAAAGAAAATAAAAAAAGAAGAAAAAAACCAAAAAAAAGAAAAAATAACAACAAAAGAGAAGAGAAGAAAAAATAAATAAATAAATAAATAAATAAATAAATAAATAAATAAATAAATAAACAAAGAAGGAGAAGAAGACCATATAATAACGTTTGACCTAACGTGTAAGAATAAGTGTGTGCGTTCGCGAACACGTTGAAGTATTATTATATCAATGTTAAAATAACGAAAAACATAAATAACGTTCATATATTTGAATTATCAATAACAATGATAAAAACTTTATGAAAAAATTTATTCAGAATATAAATACTAAAGTGTAATGGTGTATTTGTTGTATCGTATAAGTTAGAAGAGTATGAGGATTAGAGAGAAAAAAAGAAAAAAGCAAAAAAAAAAAAAAAAGAAAAGAAAAGAGAAATGAGTAGAAGAAGAGAAAGAAGTAGTAGAAGAAATAAAAAAAAAAAAAATTGGAGAAAAAAAAAAAGATATAAATAAAAGTATAATACGCGTTATCAAAATACGAATCTTCCATTAGTTTTTTAATCTAATTTCGTATCGTTTCGTTTCGTTCTACTTTTTTTCGTTTCTTTTTTTTTTCTTCTCGCCCCCGAACACCTCCCTCCTCCACGGGATAAACTCTGTCACGCTCGAGAGGAAGAAAAAAATATTGGAAAAAATTCGTTCTACCCTCTCTACTATCATTATCTCGACAAAATTTTTTTTCCATTAATAAGAGGAACCACCTGGTTTGGATTCCCTGAATGGCTGCAGGGAAACCGTGCGAATTGAAGAAAAAAGCGATCAGGTACGATGAAGAAGTTCTTCGATTATTAGATAAAGAAAAAAAAAAAAGAGAGAGAGACAAAAAAAAATACATACACGTATGTATAGATGCGTAACAAAATTGGCATAAAATTGAATGAGACGAAAAAAAAAAAGGAAAAAATTTTTAATACCTCGAGCGAGAAGTCTTCCCCTCGTCGGGGGTTGGGGGTGGTATGTCTGTATAAAAATCGGTTTACCAAACTTCGAGAGTCTTATATAAATAAATATTGTATCAACACGTATACTTATACATACAAATATACATATACATATACATATATATACATATATATATACATCGATGATAAAGATATAAAGATAAGAAAAACAAAAAGAAAAAGAAAGAATAAAAAAAAAAAAAAAAGAAATAAATCCACGTAAAATGAATGATCGTTGGATCTCTTCGATGTGAGCGATCACTTTTGCACGCACGATCGTTGTTTCTAGAAGAAAAAAAAAAAAGAAAACAAATCCCTTGAAATTAAAAATGACCTTGCTTCGACGTCATGATTGATTTAAATGTAAACATATAAATTCGACGTCGAGGAAGCTCGTGAAATTTCGATATGTGATTTTGTGAACTACAGTCTCGAACATAAAAATAAAGAGGAATAATAAATGTTAGAAAAAAAAAGAACATGTGGGAAACCTTGAAAGTTGGATCTAATTGAAGGTCATTACGAGGCGTTTGCGAAATTGGCGAATTTCGTGAAAAAAAAAAAAAAAAAACGTTATGTGAATCCGCAACGGGAAATTTTAGATGGAATGAATTAACAATAATAATTAATATAATTATAATCGTGCCGTTGGGATCTCCTGATGAATATTAATTAAAACGTTCGTAGAAGCAATATAGAAAAAAAATAAATAATAAAACAAAAAGAGAACTGTAAGTAAAGTATATACATAAATAAATAAATAAAAAGAAAAATGATATTGAATATTAATATTGAACACATACATATATACATATAATCCCATGTTTCAAACAAAGAACTCTATATACGTGAGCGTTAAATATAAAGTGATATACGTATGTGTGTATATATATATATATATATATATATATATTTATGTATATATATATATATACACATATACGTAACACTTAACGAAGCAATTAGATATGTGAAAAAAAAAATTTATCTATATATATATATATATATTTAAATGTTAGAATTGGATTTAAGAGCTTTAAGCAAAGAAAAAAGTTAACCATCGTATATTTGTTATTCAATAAAGTTTTGAATGGATATAGTACGTACGTTAAATCTCATGAAGTATGCACCGAGATCCTAAGCTACCGTAAATATATATATCGCGTATTAATTAACTTATTAAAATGAGTAGAAATAATTTATGATATTATAATGTTTCACCCCTTAATGAAAATGCTAAGAGGTACATATATATATTTACAAATAAAAACACATATGCGTCTATAGAAACGCAATGTATCATAACGTCAGCTTTATCTATTAATAATCTAACGGGTTATAAAAAAAAAAATATATATATATATACACTTGTCAATGTATCGTTCTTTTCGTCGTAATATAATCAAGAGACCCACGGACAAAGAAAAAATATTTAAAAAGAAAAAAAAAAGAAAAAAAGAAAAATAGAAAAAAAAAGGTTCGAAAGAAGGAAAGGATCGCTCGTGTCTGATGGTTCGTCTCTCTCTCTCTCGTATGAACGTGTAAAGATTTTATTTCTCGATAAAATATAAAAAAGAAAAAGAAAAAAGAGAATCTGAAGGATAAGAACTGTCGGGAAATCTTGAAAAATCGAGAAACATTATTTATATTAATTTGTTACATCGGGAGAACGAAAGAAAGAAAGAGAAAAAGAGAGAGAGAAAGAGAGATAATAAATGACGGATAATAAAAGAAATTATTTTGGAGTTTGCCTACAATCTTCCGTTGCGGATTCGGAAATCCACGTGGTCGCGGCTTAATTGCTGTGCACCTACTCCCGGTACGAAACGCGAGTCAATTCAATTCGCGAAAAAAATTTCGCGAACGTCTACGTCGTCATCTCTCGCCGTTGTTCAATAACTATTAGACGAAACTATAAACCAACAAAAACAATTGATTGTTTATCAATCCGACAAATCGACGATTACCATATTGGCACAACCACACCACTACCATCACCACTACTCACGTATTGATCAACGATGAAAAAATAGAAAGAAAGAAGAAAAACAAAGAGCGTGTTTTAAATTTGCGAGTATTAAAATGATAGAGAAAATTACATCAACGTGAAGTAAAATTTTAATAAAACGGATCAAGAACTGATCAAGAAGACGAATCAATAGTTACGTTGTGATCGTTTGGCGATTTTCAGTATTCGAAATTTTGAAGAAAAAAAAGGGAGAAAAAATTGTTGAAGTACGTATGGATCCGTAATACGAGACGAGATAATATATGCTGATTAAAACGTGATCGATAGATAAAGGAACATATAAAGTAGAGGAAAAATAAAAATAAAAAAAAAAAAAAATAAAATTGAAGGGTTCGAGAGAAGTTGGAGAGGGAATAGAATGGAGGACGCATTTTATTCTACCCTCGTTAATAAATCTGTATAAATATACGTACATAATTGCATATATACGTACATACATATATACTTACATACATATTATACCTACATATATATATATATGCACACTTATACACATACCATTATGCATTTCATTGATAATCTGTTTCAAATATTTATGATACATATAATAGATGTATTTTAATGGACGATTTATTATGAAAATATTGCCGCCGCTGAGATACCTTCATGTCGGATGTTCTCTTAACTTCTTTTCGATCCCTTAGAAGACATTCAAAACGAAAGATTATTCGCACGAACTATCATTAGAAAGGAAAGGATAGAAAAAGAATGAAATAGAAATAAAGAGATAGAGATAGAGAGAGAGAGAGAGAGAGAGAGAGAGAGAGAGAGAAAAAGAGTTAAAGAGATAAAGATATAGAGGTATTAAAAACATGTAAAGAATCATTGAAGAAAAACAGAGAGAGAAAGAGAGAATTAGAGAAAACAAACAAACGAATAAATAAACAAACAAACAAAAACGTCGAAAGTTATCATTTGTTTTTGTAACTTCGTAGAATAAAAATATCACTCTGTATAATATTTATAAATATAATTATTTTCGGTTCATTCACTTTTCCTTTCTCTTTCTCTCTCTATTTTTATTTGTAATATTTATAAGAAAAATCTTACGATGATTAAGAAAGATCATAGTCGATGGAAAAGAGATGTATGAGTCTGTGTGTAAGTGTGTGTGTATATGTGAAGAAATGAAAGAGAAAAAAGAGAAAAAAAAACAAGATCTGAAACAAAGAAGAAGAAGAAGAAGAAAAACGAAGAAATTAAAAGAGAAAAGAAAAGATATGATTTCTAAGGGAAGGGAGAGAAGTAATCGTGTGTATGTATGTGTTTAATGTCTTTTAACATAATCGATAAACGTCAGAATCGGCATTAAGTAGCCGGGATTCTTATTAATCGAATTGCCGATGCAATCAAAATGCGATTAAAAAAAATAAAGAAATAAATAAAAAATAAAAAAAAATAAAAAAATTACAAACAGATAAACGAATGAATTTATGACTGAACAAAAAAAAAAAAGAAGAAAAAAATAGAAGGGAAAAAATCACGTCGAGAGAGAAGCATGAAGCTGACACGTTGTATGAACGATGAGGAGACGCATTAACGTTGAAGAAAAAATAAAGAAAAAAAAAAAAAGAAAAATAAGAGGAAAAAGAAAACTACAAAATTACGACGTTGTCATTAACTTCGATATTAACAATGGCGAATCTTTTCTATCATTTTTGTTTTTTTTTTTTTTTTACGATTGCCTTATAATCAAATAATTTAATTTCATTAATTTTGTTAATATGACAATAATTGCGAATTGGAATATTTCAATCGAATAATTGAAAGAAAGATCAGAAATAAAGAAAGATTTCTATATTTAACACTTTTTGATTGAATCTATTAAAAAATTATAATTAATAATTAATTAAATTCTACGAAATGATTCGTCGATGTAAGAGATTCCTCGATCATTGACGAGAAACCAATTTATTTTATATTTTAATATACATATATATATTTTTTTTTTAATAATTAAATCGTATCATATCATTAACATGATTTAATCGTGTCTATCGTTATTATTATCATAATTTAATCGTATTATATTATTAACTAAGAAGAAGAAGATGATGATTGAAACTTTTTACTTTTGCATCTTCACGCTGCCTCTCGACGAATAAACGAATCAAAAAGATGAAATCGAATAAATTACGATCGAAAGTATCGTCGAAGTATTCAAGATTTATTAGGAGAACAAAAAAAAAAAAGGAAAAAAAAAAAGAAAAATAAAAAAAAAAGATAATAATAATATAAACGCAAACTTTTTGAAGAAAATAATTAGCGAGTTACTCGTCGTTGGCTGCTATTGTGAACAGACAATAAGCAATGAACAAAACAAAAAAAAAAAGAGAGAACGAAATAATAAAAAATAAAAAATAAATAAAAGAAGATAAAAAAGAAATAATGAAAAAAAAAAAAAAAAAAAAAAAATAAACAAAAGAAAGAAAAAAGAAATAAAAAGCGTTGAGAAGCTGCTTCCTGCGTTATATAAAATGGAGGAGATAGTTCTTTGTATGCCGATACGTGTTTGTTTCTTCATTAGGCGATTTTTTTTTTAAATCGTTGCCTATTATTTATATTTGCGATTGATGCTTGCGCGGAGTATGGTAGCGTGTTTTGTGGTTTGACAAGAAAAAATATGACAAAAAAGAAACTTTATAAAGGAAAATTATAGAAGGAAGAAGTAGAAAAGAAAAGAAAAGAAAAGAAAAGAAAAGAAAAGAAAAGAAAAGAAAAGAAATAATTAATGACGTATCGTGTCGAATCGTAAAATGATATTCTCGATTGATATTTCTCTATATCCCCTATATATTATATACATATATATATATACATATATACAAATACATATAGTTTTCTCTCTCTCACTTGACCTTCTCAAATATTTATCATTAATTAAAGGCACCAAAAAGAGGATGCTTAAATAAAAAAAAAAATCTTTGTATCGTTGTAAACGTAGAGATATTTAACCAGCTGGTGTATGGGTCCGACTTTATACGCCTGTGTAATTGTCGTTTAATAATAATAATGATAATAATGATAATGATGGATAACGTTGTTGATGATAATAATGATAATGATAATAATAATAATAAATAATAAAAAATTACCAAAAAAAGAAACAAAATAATAAAAAAGAAAAAACAAATGCAATGAAAAGAAAGAAGAAGTAGAAGAAGAAGAAGTAAAAAATTACGAAAAAGAAAGAAAGAAAGAAGGAAAAAAAAATATAAACAAACGAACAAAAAAGGAAAAAAAAAATCCGAATGAATTAAAAGCTTATATAGAGAACTTTACCGTTTCTTTCTTTGTTGTTTTTTTTTTTTTGTTTATTTTTTAATCCTTCTTACAAGATAATACAAAAAACTCGATTGTATCGATAAATAAAGGAAGAATATGTATGTACGTTAAAACACGTTCTGAGACAAAGACAATAAAATAAAAAAAAAAAAAAATAAATAAAAAAAAAAAAATATATATATATATATCGAATCTGAAAATCGCCAAAGAAATTCGTTGGATCAGGTCTAAGACGTTTTATAGATAAGAGAGTCGCGATATTTTTACGGATGAGGGATGAGGGATGAAGGATGAGGGTTTGTGTGGAGTACTGGAGGAAAGAAATGGATGGGTGGATGGGTGGTTGGTTGAGAAAATTTGGGAAGGATTTAACAATTCTGTCGGTGCGAGTAGAGTATCTTCTTATAAAAGAGAGAGATTTAAAGATCCTTATTAAAATGATATCGATCGATCGCTAATTTCAGAGATAAAGAGAGAAGAAACCGACATTAACGTCTAGTGAAATAGAAAAAAATTAATATATATATAAAGCTTAAAATATAATGTTAGAAGAGTTAATATATATATAGAATATATAATATATAATACAATATAATATAATATAATATAATATGACAATGGTTTGTTCTAATTTATGTATATGGTATTATCTATGTGTATATGATAATATGTAATTTAACGAATAAATATATGTAATAAAAAGATATAAAAATGATTTATTTCATTCTCATTATTTTTCTCTCTCTATTTCTCTTTTCTTTTTTTTAATTATATATAAATATATAAATATTTACATACCAGAATGAGTTTCTCAGGAATGAGTTCGTCAGGAATTTATAACTGATCGATTTTGATGTCTTCATTACTTTCTTTGGATGATTTTATACGATTCAGAAGTTCCTCAGGTAAATCGTCGAATGTCATTTCACCTTTAGAAATTTTCTTTACGTAATTCAGCATATCCTTAGTCGCGTCCATGGTACGACGAAATTTTTCTAAATAGATAATAATCATAAACGAAACAAAAAATATATAAAAAAAATAAAAAGAAAAGAAAATGAAAAAGATTAATCGAAACTTGGATTAAATCGTAAAAGAATCAATCACTCGATTGATGACCTAATGATCGAATTCTTTCTTTTCTTTTTTTCGTTCTTTTTCTTTTTCTTTCTTCGTTTATTTTTTTCTCTTTTTTTCCTTACCAATTTCTGGATATTCGATTGACGATTCTACTTTCGTCGATTCCTTTTTACCGGTCGACTTTATTTTCATGTAGATATTCTCGTCTGTAAGTGTTCGATGTTTAAAAGATTATATCTTCTTTTCGCGTAAACTTATAAAGAGATAGAAAGAAAATGAAAATTGTACTCTCGAATGATAATTAAATTTACCATAAATCTGATTTTTCGGTAAAATCAATTCGCTTCGTTTAACGAGATAATCGATATCCCTCACGCGTTGATTCGTTTTTTCTAACAGAATTTTATTTAATTCTATACGTTTCATCAGGTTGGCCAACTTAATCTGCAAAAAAAAAAGAAAATCCGAATACGATCAAGAAGAATTAATATCCAAACAATTTATTTCTCCTTGAATTAAATTTTAAATATCTCTTTATAAAATATATCGATCTCTTTCGTTCAAATTTTTATTACAACGAGATAATACGAATATTAGAAAAAAGAAAAAGAAAGAAAAAAAATCAAGACAATGGATTTAAAATGACAACGTGATTCATAATCGTTCGAACAATTTAAAAAATAGGCGCCAAACTGATTGTAACATTTTAAAGGTTATAAGCGCGTAATTTAAATTCGACTAATTATTAGATTTCCTTCTATTGGTTTTTTCGAGATAAAAATTAATTACAAGATAGTCGTAAATATTGGTCAAACGATACGATTAAGAAATCGAAATGACGAATTAAATTCTGAATCGTTTGAACGACTTATGAAATGTAATGTTCGAACTCATCGTGCACGTCAGATAACGCGCGAAATTTAAATTCAAGAAACATCAGAAATTTAGAATTTTTCTTTCTTTTTTTTTTTTTTTTATTTTTTTAAATCGCTTACGTCTATCTCCGTTGATTCGTTCTTCGTTTTCGTTAATGCGCTTCCCTCGATCGTATCTTCTATCGGAATTTTGGTTAAAAAAGTGAAAGGTTCTGTCGGATTTTCTTTTGCCCTTTTTAAAGAATCTTCCAAATCTTTTGGCATTAATTTATCGACATCGTCAAATTTTGTATCGCGGAGTAATTTCAAATAACTTTCTTTTCCGGTTTTAGTTCTGACCAACGGGTCATAGGTTATCTTATTTTTTAAGCTGCAATAGTTCTACTTTGTTGTTAAAGATTTTCCATTGAAAAAAGAAAAAAAAAAAAATAAATATATATATATGCAAGTGATAATTTTATAATCATTAATATTACCTAGACGTTTTATTTTTCGATTCCATGCCGTTTTAAAGTTGTGTCGTTAATAAAACGTGTCAGAAAATAAAACACTCGCCGATGAAACTAACCCCTAATTTCGTAACTATGAAGATTAAAATAGCTTGGTCGATAAATTTTCGTTGGCTACGTATATTAAGATGATGAAGAAAATGAAGAAAATTTAATAATAATACATTTATATCTAATAATTTATTAGAATGTTGTTAAATATTAAATATCAATTCAACCATACGTCACTTATGCATATATGCAGATTTAAATCTAAATTATACAAATTTTCTAATTATAATTCTATTTTTAAACGATAAAGATAAATAATAACGATATATAATACGTAATATTTTTAATAACGCATATATAACCCACATTCTTATATAAATACAAGAAAAAAAACATTATACATGTATATACTTTATATATATATATATATAATATATAATATATTATATATAGTATGTATATAATATATATATATGTATATATATATATTATACAATTGATGAGTGAAATTAAAGAACAATCTATATTCTAATGCTTACATGATTTAGTTGTACTTACAAAAGTATTATTATCGATATCATATTTTTATCATTCAAAAAAGAAAAAAAAAAAAAAAAAGAAAAGAAAAGAAAAGAAAACATTACTATCACAATATATGTACGAAGCGAATATTAGAATATAAAATGATACGATATACTTCATACTGCTGATTTCAGCTAAACGTTTATAAACTATTAAAGTCAACCAATATATATATATATATACGTACATCACAATTTGTTAATTTTTATAATTGCAAATAAAAGTTAAAAAACATTAGTAAAAAAAGTTATAAATGCCAATGATTAATAATGTAATTAGTATAGTCAGGACAAGTAACTAAATGAATATATAATTAATTTAGTTATTCTAATTCCATTCGTTAATGAGAGAGTATTAATGTTAAAAAAAGGATAACTGAGAAAGCAAAATCATGTTAATATTATTATATGCTATTGCTTCAATATCAGTCTTTTTATAAGAGAAATAATTAAATAATAAAGTTAGATTACATTCGCTTACTTTTTTTTTTCTTTTTTTCTTTTAACTCCATAAATGAAAATTGAATTGGCTCATTCGTCTTACAAAAAAAGCACGAATTCCATTAAATCAAAATAAAGAATTACGTTACTTTTCTCTTAATCGTGATACCTTGTCCTATTCCTTGAACCTAAATAACGAAAAAAAAAAAAAAAAAAAAAAAAAAAAAAAAAAAAAAAAAAAAAAATTGCGAAACTATATATATATAATTTAACAATACATTTGTCTCTATATTTATATATCACAGTAATCTAGAAATATATAAGTCTAGCATCTTCTGGATTTTGTTCCACAGGACAGTATGGGCATTTCAGTCTAGAAACAAATTAATTCGTTTAAAGAGAAGCAAAAAATTTGATTGAAATAAACATTGATTTACATTTCATCTTCGTTATATTCTAATAACATACTTGTTTGCATTGGTGAGCTTATTTAATGCATCCCTTGATATTACGTGACCGCAAACTAATTTCATTGGCGGATTATTTTCTGTACTTTGTTGTCGAAGGATCGGACATGCGAAAACCGAATGATAGCGACTTTGTTTACCCAAATCTATTTCGATCTATTTATAGGAAAAAAAAGAGAAAAGATATAAAAAAAAAAAAAAAAAAAAAAACGAAAAGAAAAGAGAGATATGAAATAATTAATTGTCATTGTCTTATTATCAATAAACGTTGTTAATTAGATTTACCGGAAGTTCATCCTTTCCACTCCATATACCTGTTACTTGTCTCTGTTGCATAACCTGTTTAATATTGAGAAGAGCAGGAAGTGCTGTACATCCAGCATTGATACTGCGAAATAAATATCTTATCATCGTTGCTAATCAAAAATTGTAACAATTATCTATCTTCTATTCAACTTACCAAACCGAGAGTGGACTGTCAACGCTTAATCCTAACAATGTACATGCTTCTTTTGTAAAAACATCATGAATATCAAGCCATAATGTTGGATCTAACAAATGACTATATGGGGATGATTGTATTCCATTAGGTAAATAAAGTAATGTTCCCATTAAAGCTTGTACTTCTTTTTCATGACGTCCAACAAACTGTGTAAGATTCTGACGAGCATACATTATTGCCTCTGTTTGTTTACTAGGTCCTTGTTGTACAAGCCTTATAAAATGTAATCTATGTAACTTAAATTCAAGAGATGAATTCTGAAATAATTAAAATCTTCTTTAGGACAAATCTAATTAATTCCGTATACATTAAAAATCGAAGACTGGTATCGTTTTAATATAAATTTACTTGTGCCAAAAGAGCTTCTCTGTGTTTCTTAGCCCACTCAAGTGCAGGTTCTAAATTTCTTTGCTTCAAACAATCAAGTATATAATTTAATTCTGTGAACGGTTCTTTCCTGCCTTCGTCGGTTTTAATTCCTGCTTCCTAAAATATTTCTAACTATATCGTTTTCTTGAAAATTATTACTACGTATTTTACAATATGAAAATGAGCAAGTGATTATACATAAAGTACCGCGATAAAAAAGAAAAAATGTTCCCTATACGTAATCTATCTCCTATTTCATTAAAATCATTTTATAATCAATTAGATAGTTATTATTTAACTATAAGATATAAAGAAATATATGCGTATGCGCGATAAGTATTTTTTGATATCAAAATATCAAAATAAAAAATAAAAAAAATAAAAAAACAACTATCCATATATAATCTATTAAAATACAAATACGCTAAATGATATATAAAATTATGAATAATGAGATGCCTCCTCAATTATTGGTTATAAATTTACTGTTGCCAATTCGTCTGCAATATCCAGCATTCCTTGACGATAGAAGTGTTGACAGATAACTTGATTAAGAAGATGAGATTTTTCTGGACCAGAAAATACATCTTCTCGACTTGTACTTGCAAAATCGGCAATAAAATTTCTGTCAATAGCTTTGCCCACTTTAGATACTGTACTATGTAAATCTCGATGATCGGTTGCCAAACGTTGTACAGTATCACGAACCTTTGTCATTGCTTGTTTCAATACCTGCACTTGACCAGGTGTCAGTTCATGATCAGATGGTGCTAGGAGAAACAATAGATTATTTTTAATATTTAAAGGTATTAAAGTGTACATAAGAAAAATGTTTCAATGCTGATAAATGAGGCTCGATCAAAAAAATCATTCTAAATAGGTTATAAATATGGAAAAATAATTGGCCTTATAATAAAACCTTTACAAACTTTATTTCGTTATTCTCGTGTAATAAGTTTTAATATAATCCTTTTATAATCTCACAAAATTCATCACGATTTCTGCTGAATCATAACAACAAAACGAAATTGTATAGAGTCGAGTCAAGGACATCATATATCTTAATATATCACGTAATTCTTACCTTCTTCTAATTCCTTTTTTAACGATTCGATATGATTTATTAAATCACGTAAAACATTATCTGCATGTTCGTTAATAGCACCAAATTTTAATAGAACTTTGTCAACTTCGCGCTCAACAGCGTTACAAGCCTCCATTGTTGTTTGTCTTCAATGTACTCATGTTATAATTAAAGGCGATACACCAAAACTCCAATAGAAAATCACGTCGAACGAGACGCACTCTGGTGGTGAATTTTCAAATTAAAAATATCGCAAAGTGATTGGCTGAAAAAGATATACGTATTTAATATTGGTACTACTACCGAGGATGACTCGTCGGATAAAGGTTGGCAATACTGATTAAACGCTTTCTTCCGGCTTCGCTATACTGGCTGGCTCACTGTATAAGTCGCCATTTGTAACAAATTCCTTGATCACTGAGCGTTGAGCAGCAAGAAACGTCCTAGGGAACGATCGGAGTGGCTATATTGAAACAGTAAGAAAGATATAAATCTTATGTTCGTATCAGTGCACATTAAAGTCGACAATGTGCGACAAATATTTCTTTTCGACAACATGTTTTTCTAACCAAAATTTTTATCCGAAAAATATATATCTTAATAAACATATGTCAAATAATAATATTTTATAAAGGGACTCGAATAAAGTATTTAATATTGTTGTAAAGTGACGTCAATGAACGTTAGATAAAATATTATTTTATCTATGATAGGAACAATAGTACAGATTATTTTCTTGTATGATAACATTATTCATTAGTATTCGCTAGGTATTCGTTTTTCTATAATACATTATCAAAAGATATATTTCATAAATTTCACGAAAACTTTATCATTATTATTATTATTATTATTATTATTATTATAGTAATATCGTAGTAGAATGCATATTAATTAAAAATAATATTATTTTAAATACAAATGTAAAATTATGAAACATTTATTGCATAGGTCATATTTCGCTTTTAGGTAAAATATATCATGGATGAAATTGAATGTCAATATAACTTGGGAAACTATATTTACACTATTAGAGACACAAAGGACGTTCACGCAAGATTGAAAAGTGGTAATTTATCAATCGATTCAAAATACATATAAATAATTTAATTGAAATTTATAAAAAATTCACGCATAGACATTTTTAATTTCCAGATCCTGTTTTTGTTGCAGAGTATATTAAATTAAATGGTGCTAATTTGGAATATCAAGTAAGAAGTATAAATGCAATAGCAGGTTGGTACACGTTAAATTGTAAAAAAACAAAAAAAAAACAAAAAAATTATTAGAGCAAATATATTTATTATTTCTCTAAATTATGATCTGTATTATTTATTATTAATTGTATTAAATGAATTCTTTTGACAGTCTAATGCCTTTTACAATTGGTATATTTGTTTTAATTAATCTTAAATAATAATATATTAATAATATTAAACGTTTGATTTCAGATACCTCGTTTGTCTGGACAAGGAGTAAAACATTGTTACTCATTGAAGCTTACGATGCTAGGAAAGAAAAATTTAGAGATTCTACGATAAAAAAGAAAACTCTTTGGAAAGAAATTGCTTTAGAATTTGAGAAGAAAAATTATTACGTGTCAGCTGAAAATTTAGATAAAAAGTTTAGAAATTTAAAAAGAACGTACATAAAAATCCGTGATAATATTAGGAAATCGTCTATGGGGAAAGATAGAATTACATGGGAGTATTATGATTATTTACAAAAAATTTATGAAAAGGATTATACTATAGATATTCCTAATATGATAAATACGAATTTAGTTAAAAGCGAAGATAACGAAAAGATATCTCAAAATTTTGTTCATAGTGAGAGTTCATTGTCTGGAAAGTCTGTAGCAGATGATGAATTTATTGAAGTATTATCCGATCAACTTGATCAATCAGACCATTACGATGGTAATACGCAAATAGTATGTGATACAAAACCAAATACTATACGTGAAAGAATAAAATTAAGGACACAAAGAAAGAGACAAATGAAAACACTTAGAGAAGAACATCTTAGTTTAGAAAAAGAAAAGGTTAAAGAGCTTAGACGTTTGAGAGAGGCAATAGAAAATAACAATGAAATACAAAGAGAACGTAATCAACTTTTTTCAGCTCTCATAATGAATATAACATGTGAAACGTTGAATGAATTTAAATTTGGATCTTTTTGTGAAAAGGTATAAATATTATTAATTCATATATTGCAAAGACAGGGTATTAAATGTGAGTAAAGATAAAGTTATTATAAAAATAAATCCTTCTCAGAAGATATTCATTATTCACATGTTTAAACTCGATCAAAATGGAGCCAAAGCAATCCAATTCGATCTAATGTATTTATATATTGTGTATATCTAAGCTTATTACTATATAACATGTATATATTTGTATAGTAGAATCTAGGAAAAAGTGATTTAATCGATTGATTAAATTTATATATGTCTATAAAGATAAATGTGTATATATAATAGATTTTTTTAAATAATAAAACATACATTTTGCTAACTACTACAATTTTGTAATAATTGCAAAATAAAGTTATCGGTAATTCGCTTTGCGATTAGTCGTTGAATTAGCAAAGAAAACTGAAAAATTCAATTTACTTCATTAAATGGTTCTTGTACACTTTGATCCAATTTCTTTTTATGGAATTATTTTAAATGCACATTGATACAACTTTGGCAGTTTATATTTACAAGCTATAATAATAGAAGCAATACCATCTTTGTTGTCTTTAGCATGGAACATAAAATTTCAATTACATTTTAGAACTGGATTAATTTCTACTACAATTTTTTCAATCAATAACAACAATAATAATAATAATAATTATTATAATAATAATAATACTAATGTAGATGGATATTCGAAGACAAAAATGTACGTGATTATATCTTACAATTAATCGAGAAGAAACCATTTATATTACGAATACGACACTTGTTATTTGGGTCATATATATATAACCTAAGATTATTTGTACAAATATTTTAACTTAGAAATTACAATTATATACATATATATATATATATAATTGTAATTTCATATTGATAAATAGAAGCATATCACCTATATAACAATGGTATATCCTAGTTTCTTGGAATATATTCATTTAAGTAATTTATAAGAAGTATATATACATACAGAGAAATTCATATTACATCAATTACATTTATTTGTTCATTGTTCGATCCGTGAACCCTAAAATGAAATAAATCATTGTTTAATTAAAATATTAATCTTAACTTGTTAATAACTATATTAACTCATTAAAGATAACATGATTGAATTTTAAATAGAATGAGGATTATAATAGAAAGGAAAGAAGAAAAATAAAGAAACAAACTAACCCATTCTTGAGCCATCATGAGTATAGTCGTGTTTGATAATTTTGGTCCAATTAATGGATTCATTTGCGCCATGTAACAACACAACCAGCTGGAATAATAATATATGTTTATCGATAATGATAGAATATTTTTTGATATTAATCTTTGAATGATACTTACAATAACCAACAAGTAAACGCTGTTAATATGAGAACAACTTGTAGTATTCTAAAGTGGATGCAGAGAGAAAAAACAAAAAAAGAAAAGAAATAGAGATATAGAAATAATTAATTGAAAAAAAATATCTTTAGATCTATGGGAAAAATTTTCATTGACAGATAGATCACAGTGGGATGGGCCGTATTAAAATATTTAATATATATCATACCCACGATTTGGTCCAGTAGGTACGAAACAAGGCAAAGCTATACCAACAGCTCCCCACAAAATGGTAAATACTAATATTGGTACTACGGATGCTCCCATTTTACGATCTATTTGAATTATATCAACGAACGAGAAACGAAGAAACAGAGATCTATGAAATAATGAATTCTGACCAGCGGGATGTTGGCTCGAGTGTGTGTAGTAATCACATGAGTAAAATACTCGATATAAATCGATATGATATCGAAGGTATCTCACGTGACTACAATGAATAATCGCATGGTATATCGTATCGTATCGATTCGATACTATATACCGCGAATTTCAAACGTAGAACAAAGAAACTATGTTTCCTTATAATAAACATATAAAATCGATATAGAAAACTTTATAAAAAATTCTCTTTAATTCTGTTTTAGAAAATTCTTTATTTTTTTTCTCTTTAGTTCGTAAAAGAAAACTATTGAAAATATCCTTGACAAAATTGATTATGGATCAGGGATGAGAGAGAGAAAAAGGCTTTGAAAGTAAATAATTCATATATGAATATATATTTTTAAGATAGATGAGCGATTGAAAAAGAAAAATATATATTCTTAAGTCAATATATCGAACTCTTAATAAATCAATCGTCGTTGGAGTTTATTCTTTGTGTAAATTAATCGTGCCTTTCGTTGATTCCAAACAAATATCAAATTTTCGATAATGAATATAATGCTTGATAAAACGGATGCTCCAGATAACATAATGAATACCAAAGACACTTGATTCATTTCAATTGGATTTGGTTTTTGCCATTCCTCGTCCTTCATATTGTGAAATGCTATTTGTTTTCTCAATTTTGATATCAAACCAATCTCGTGCAATCTTATGATGCTAACGATATAATACGATATATTATTTTTTATTTTTCATATAATAATATATATATATATATATATAATTTTTTTTTCGCATGTCGACGAATTATATACACGTGAATGAATTTAAATTTACCCTATATCTATCGTTCTTTTATATTTGAAATTTTTACTTATGGCGGATGCAACCCATGTCGTAAAATATGGCATGCCTATGGGGTTCAATTTGCAAAAATATTTTTGTTTTGCATTGTACACGTCCTCGTCGTAAAACATGGTGTACTCGTTAGAACAAACCTTTCTGTACATCTCCCTCTCCGTTTGCATGACAACTAATCGTTCTTCTTCAAAGAGTTCATTCAAAACTCGATAACCTTTCTAAAATATCAATTAATAATTATATATATATATATATATATAATAAAGTCTAATAATATAATCGAATATTATAAGAAGGTTGTTCGTTGTTTTTGCGAATTTGTTTCACGTTTTTTTTTTTTTCTTTTATTTTTTTCTTTTTTAAAGAAGAAAATTCTTGTATTTACCATAAATGCTAAATAAGGAATAGATCCGTTTAAAGTGACGATTTTATAATTTGTATGATTTTTCAAATGATCAAGATCTTTGAAAGGTTTTACATAAATTTTGTGCGTCATGTATGTAAATATCAAAGCTGAAAATGCTATGTGAATTAAACTTGAGAACAAACCAAGCGATAATTCTAAAATTCGTGATCTTCCTTCGAATTCCTTCGGGATACAACCTGAAATTCTCGACGATGATTAGGAAGAGATACAAAAGAAAAAGAAATAATCAATGATCCTTACCTTGTTTGCACATCATGGCGAAATTGTAGAAACAATGATCAATGAAGTATGCTTTTTGTTTGATTTTTTCGACGTAATAACAAAATATTATTTGCGATATGTGACTGAATAGGGTTAATATTAAATACATCATTAAAATCGAATACCATACTTTCCATGAGAATAAATACAGCATCCAATTTTTATCGTGCGTGTATTTCAGTTGAATGAATAGTCGTTGCCTATATATTACGTTTAATATATTTTATATTAAACGTTACATTTAATATATATATATTATAGATATTATATTACGTACGTAGTACTCCAGAGTGCAGGCGTAAAATCAGCGGCCGCAATTCGGCTAGAATACATTTCTATCTTTGGTATTACATGGGTTTCATGTCTTTGAAGTTTACCTAATAAACCGTCAAAAATATCGTCTTTTTGACTACCAGAAAACGTTTCGTTCGTGCGTATTGATTTTAATCTAAAAAAAAAAAAGAGAAAAGAAACAAAAAGATTCGATTAAAATATCAATTATCGTACGACAATAATAATATTTCATAATTATTTGAAATTTACGTAAAGTTCAATGAGTCAGCCAGCAAATTCCATATGTCCGCGACTAGTCCTGTGATCTTGGTATCATTTTTATAGAAGAACACTATATTTTTTTGCTGTGATAAAGAGAAAAAGAAAAAGAAGAAATGTGTTTTTTATTTTTCATTTTAGGTAGATAAAGAAAAGAATAAAAAAGTAAAGAAAGTTTTCTGCCGTCGTCGTCATCATCATCATCATCATCATCATCATTATTATTACTATTATTATTGTTATTTTTATTATTTTTTCCTTTACCTGAAAGTAGGTAAGTTCAATGATTTGCCCTTGAAAATTATGCGTCTCGATTTCCCGTTGTTTCAATAATAATTCACGATGAAGAGTCGAGTAAGGATGAATGCTGAATATCGGTACGAAGTTTCCAAGATTTTTGTTCCATATTAAACCACCAATCGTATGCGAGATCACTAATAGATTTTGAATGGTTGCCATCAATAGGATACGTCTCATGGTGTTAAAAAATAGAAAAAGAAAAAAATAATAACAAACGAACAAATCTGACTGAGAATTAGATTTTGTCACTGAACTGTAAAGTTTAAGAATGACGTTCCTCGATTTCGATTAGTGAGAAATATTAACCATGAAATCGCGTGTTTGTTAATAATTTAGCATGCGAGCGAATATTACAGAGATAGAGGGGGTAGACATTTCGATAACGATTTATGTTATCTAATTTCCGCATATTAAGCTTTCAGCACAACACGTAACAATCACAGATTTTTTATAGTAGAGTTTGTGTAACACATCACCCCAATACATATACTCTTTACTCTCTTTCTCTCTTTTCATGCGACCGAGTTTTTTCATCCTCTCCCTCATCCCTCCCTACCATTTTCATCCCTTTTCCATTTCCATTAGTCATGTGTTATCCTTCCGTGTTGTTTATCGTAGTGCAAAGTGTCATTATATGACATTAGTTAATGTTTCCTAGTAAAAACCTATTTGGTAAAAATAGAAATATATATAATCTGAAAGAAAGAGAGAGAGAGAGAGAGAGAGAGAGTGAGATAGAAAAGACTCATTTTTAGGTACATTCATTATTTTCTAATGTGCGAGTTACGTTAAATATTTTTGATAAATCGACGATAGAGATGAAATATAAATTAAAATGTTTAATAATCTTAAAGTTTTATTTTATTATTACTCATTATATTGCATTAAAATTAATCCTGTTATGTGGATCAATTAATCTAGATATGTGTATATCGTTTAATAATATATATATATATGTTTTTTGTAATATATTAATTATTAGAAATAAGTATAAAATTATGAATGATAATGGGAAAGTAATTAAAATTAATATTTTAAAAATCACATTAAAAAATAATTAAATAGGATCATTCAAAACTTTTTTTTTATTTTATTAATATATTTAATATATATATATATATATATTACAAACAATAGTACTACACAATGATATTTCGTTATAGAATAAATAACTATGTGACTAATGATAAAACATGAGAAATGGAAACGAAAATTCGGCTATATTGAAATAGAATATCATCTATTATAAAAGATTGATAGTCTCACGATATTACATATATACATATATATATATATATATGAATATACATATACGTATATAAGAGAATAAATATAATATATTACGTAGATGAATGACGAAACAAAAACAAAACAAAAGAAAAATTGAAAACAATAATGTTTTAAGTTACAGCAACATACATAAGTTTATCATTACATCGTCGCTTTTTTTTTCGTTTTGTTTCTTTTTCTTTTCTTTTTCTATTTTTTTCAACAACATTATCTTCGACTAAATCGGATAAAGCATGATTAACGTGAAGGATATAAAGCGACAAGTATAATAAAGCTAAAAAGCATTGTTTCATTTAACATCGTTGATTCGAATGAAATTATTTTAACATAACGTAGCGATGTCGGACAATCATATTTCGTTATTACGAATAAATTAAATCAAATCCGCGTAATTACGTAAATTACGGATATTCGGATATTAATTAATACGTTTCAATGACGATCACGCTAATTTTCAAGCATGATGACGAAACGAGCATCAATACGAGCGAAGAAGTTATTGGACGAAGCTCTCGAAAAAAACTTAAAGAAAACCTTAGAACACGAAAACATAATTATTTATCTAATACACACGTTATCCACTATGCTTATTACGTGGTATATATTATTATTTGAATAAGACTAATATGTTTACGGATGATGTTCAAAATGGCGTTCTCTTCTTCATCATCTCCTCATCATTATTGTCAAAGTCGAAGAGAAGGTAAGCAATTAAATGCAAAAAATTAAATACAAAAAAACAGCCATGCAAAATGACATTCTCTTATCGAAAACGTCTTATTGATTCAATCTCGTTTACCTAGATAATATATTTTTTTATATAGAACCCCGTAAGAATAAAAAACAATCAATCATCATGGCCAAAACAATCAATCATCAGTTTGCAAGGTAATTAATTATTTAATATAATTATTTATTGTTGATTTGGTCGTTTTTTTTTGTTTTAATCAAGATTTACTTATTCAACATTGATTTATTGGATTATTGGCTTTTCTTTTTTTTTAATTTTTTTCCTTTTTTTTTCTTTACATCGTCTTTAAAAATTCGAAGAATCATCATCGTAAACACGATTTTATTTATTTCATTATTTAATTAATATCTTTACTGCTTTACGTCTAACTCGTTTCTCAATTTTCACGTCTAATTTCGATTCGTAAAAGAAGACAATGTGCTCTATTGCGAGTACCAAAATGGCCGCTAAAAATCCTATCGATAGAATACAGAATATAACGTAAATTTGATCGAAGTCGATCTTGTCGAAACGATTGTTCTCTTTATTGTCAAGTTTTGTTAACAACCAACGTTCCTTCAAGCAATCAACCAATCCAACTTCTTGCATCTTTATGATCCTATACGAATTGAAGTATATATTTCATTGAAAAACGATTTGATTCGAAATAATGATTTAATATAATTGAATCATACTGTTTAATTTATGATAATGAACTTACGCGATATCGATCGTTCGCTTATACGGTAGATGTTTTTGAATTCCAAATGTAATCCATGTTTTATAATAAAGATTACCAATAGGCATTAATGTACAAACGAATCTACTTATAACAGTAAACGTATCGTGTACTTCGAATATCGCATATTTATTTTTGTTACTACACGCTGTTCTATATATATCTCTTTCATCGTCCATGAACTTTATACGATTTTTCCATTTTGGATTATTCTTTATCATAATTTTCATTCTTTTCTAAAAAATGAAAAAGATAACAAAAAAAAAAAGGAAGAAAAAAGAAAATCTTACGGTTAATCACATGTTCTATCATAATGAATAATTCGAAAATAATTTCATACCTCGAAGGATTCATGTACCATTGATCCACGAAAACTTAGTATAATATAATTGGTATTGCTTAATAGATCATCGAAATTATTGAATGGTGGTATCACTTCTCTGTTGGTCATACGATATATCAAATGCGAGCTAAAGGTTAAAAATATTAGCCAAGAAAAAATATTCTTCGAAGTGGAAAGTATCTTGAATTTGTCGAAGTAATCTGATGGTAGATATCCTAAGAAAAAAGTAAATACTTCTTATCGTTAAAGTATTATTATTATTATTATTATTATTATTATTATTATTATTATTATTATTATTATTATTATTATTATTATTATTATTATTATTATCGCATTAATTATCTAAAACAAAGTTTCCCAAAATATAAAAGAAAATTCAAATTTGCCCGCGCAATTCATTTTCAATGGCTCGATGTATCGAACGATGTATTGAAAGATGTATCGAACGATGTATCGAAATTGTTTTGAAAATTGTTTTTTACTTTGTTTCTTCTCCTTTTTTTTTTTTTATTATTGATCGAATTAATTCTTTTCTTTCTACGAAATCCTATTGTCAAAATTTATCGTTCAACTTAAGTTTCTTAATCATTTAAAGATTTATGCGATTATAAATTTGTATATAAATATAAATATAATTTTAATACGATCGAATCTTTGGGAATCTCTGATCTAGAATGATTTTATCGATCCTATACATTATTTTTACCTTGGGAACACATTATAGCGAACGTATGAAAGATGTGATCGCTCAAATTGAAATTGATTTTGGTTTTATTATCTTCAGTATTTATTTCTGGTATCTTTTGTGCGAAATAACCGAAAAGACAGAGAATCACGAATATGGATATAATGAAGTACCAAGTTTTTGTCGAGAACATTTCTATTAACCACATATTATCGTATTGCCATTTCGGATGTATTAGCAAATTATATCTGAAAAAACGAGATAGAAAAAAAAGAAAAAAGAAAAAGAATAAACAATGAAAACACACGAAAGGGAAAAAAGAAAAATTAATTTTTTACGTCATGAAATCAATGTTCATGCAAATTGAATAAAATCTTTCAATCTTTTATCTTGATCTTTTATATTCTAATAAAGTTTAATGAAATGTAAATTAAATCGTACCCGGTACGATAAATAGGAATAGTATAATCCATATCTTTTTTACGAAATTTATAAAGTCCGGTTCGCAAAATGATATCAGTTTCGTTACGTTTAAAGATACCCATGACCCCATCGTAGGTACCATCTTCCAAAGGTTCACCGAATGTATTAGATTTGCTTTTCACTGGTATTAATCTAAGAAAAAAAAAAAATATATAATTCGAAAATAATTCGATGATTAATATAATTTCGATTTTTTTCTTTCTCTATTAATATAATATTATCGTTTACGTACGTAAAATTTAAATAATCAGCGAGTAGCGTCCATACTTCGCCGGAAATACCTCGAATTTTGGTGTTGTTTTCGTAGAACATGACCACGTGAGGATCCTGGATCCAAGAGATATGCAACAAGGGGATTAAAATAAAGAAGAAAAAAGAAAGAAAAATTAAATAAGTAACTAAATAAAAAACTAATAAATAACTAAGAAATAAATTACTAGTAACTTAGTAATTTACATTGATATTAAAAAGATATTTATTGGGAATTGATTGAAAACATTAATTTTACGTTAATTCGTAATAAAAATTAGCTGCAATTATCTTTTTCTTTTTTTTTTTTTTTCATAAAATAGACTTGCCTCACTTTCAATATCAATAGCTCATTTTTTTTATATATGTATAAATATATATATAAAAAAAAAAAAGAAAAAAGAAAAATTAGAAAGAAGGAAAAAAAGAATAAAACCTCATAGTAAGCCACTCTGATGGGTTCATGATGAAAAATGTACAACTCGGATCGTCGTCGTCTCGCTTGTATCTCGTCATTTAAAGCTGCGAATCTCGGTATCGAATATAATTGAACGAAATTTTGTCGATACTTGTCCCATATCAAACCATTCGCTGCTAATCCATTATCAAAAATATATTGAAGTAACGCGAGTATTAAATAAACTCGAAGGACGATCATCGGTGACCGTTCTTCGTAAACCAGTTCTATTGAATATACAGTTATAAGAAAATATAAAAGATACTAATGGCGACCTAAAAATATATGTACATATATATATATATATATATACATATATATATATACGTATGGTAATATATTGAACCGTATCTGAAATCATTATTCCACGTTTCGACCCTAATGAACGGGGATACATCAAGATCGTATATGTCTGATAAATAAAAAAAAATTCCCGTTCGATAATGGTAAATGCTTTTACCTCTATTACCACCGTGATTATGTGAAAAATGAATGTTCGTCTAATGCATAAATACACATATAAACACATACAAAGGATAGATATAACAAACACGTCATGTATATATAAAAAACATGAATTGTATATTATACTTGACTTAATATGTATATATATATATGTATACATATATATATAATTTATTTATTTATATAGATATAAATTAACTTAGAGACTAAAACTTATTCGACGCGTTTAATAAAAGTACGAAAACAGTTTATTATTACAAATAGCGCGTCGAAGAGGCTCGTCAGTTTTTTTTTTTTTTTTTTTTTTCAGAATATTTCCTTACAATTTAAAAAATCCAGTCAGTCACTTTGTTTCTTTCTCTTTCATTCTATCGAATTAGATTGGATTTGATTAAATAGTTCTTTTCTTTTTTTCTCCTTTTTTTCCTCGATTTTCTTTCTCACTTCTTTAAAACCCTGACGGAACGATCTCTAACGTTTCTCGTAATAGAAAAATGATTAGAAAAAAAAAAAAAAGAAAAAAAATTTGTATAATACAATCTCAATCAGTCACACTCTCGCTCGAAACACTTATGTTAGACGAACTCTAACAAATTCTAAGATCTTATCTTAGAGCATTTTAAAAATTATTATTCGCTCTACGTTCTATACACATACACGGTATGAAGTCGCATTAATTATCGGGTTTTCTTTTTTTTTCTTTTTTTTTTTCTCTTTCTTTTTTTTCCTTTTTTTCCTTTTTTCTTTCTTATTTTTTTTCTCTTTTTTTTTCTTTTTTTTTTTTATACACACAAACGACAGCATTAAATTTTAACATCGTTCGCTATTTTACGAGGGCAATAGGTTCTTCCTTATGGTTGTTTTCTTTTCTTTTCTTTTTTTTTCATTAGTACATTTTTTTTTATCAGAACATTTAACATATTCGATCGATCGATTAGCTTTAAGACGTACCATGACCATACTTTTTTTAAAATATAAATCTATTTCGTTCTTAGGATTATGGAGGAGAAGAATGCAGCACGCTAATTATGTGTATACGCATACAAAAGAACGAATTATGTATATATATATATATATATATATATATATATATATACATATAGTTAATGTACATATATATTGAGAAATATGTGAGTGTACATTTCGTTTTTTTATAGGAAACTTAATATCATAACACGTATTAAACACAATCATATGCGTACGTGATAATACAACAGTCGAATCGCTTCACAACCTCTTATTGCAATAATAATAATAATAATAATAATAATAATAATAATAATAATAATAATAATAATAATAATAACATAAAAAGGAAACGATATAAAACCAGCCTTTGTTTTCTTTCTCTTCTTAGTTTCTCCCTTTTTTACTTCTTTCGTTTTGTTTATTTTCCAATTTTTTTTTTCTTTTTTTTTTTTTGTTAATATTATAAATAGATCAATCGAAGGTAGAAAAATTCGGTGTAAAAAAAATTTCATATAATTATATCCTTATTAGAGATAAATATATCCAAGGATAGATTCATATATCTTAGATATTTTTATCAAATGCGATGATTATTAATTTATCCGATGCGATTCAGTCCATATTCAATTCGATATAAATATTTTGGCATAATATATGTATAAAATAGAAAAAAGCACGATATCGTTATTATATGAAGAAATAATAATTTCATTATTTAAATACCATGAGATTATTTTTAAAGGATGTATTATGATAATGATAAAGACATTATCATTCATTTCATGTTCATTGACGTTTATACTTAATATATACCCCTCCCTTCGCGGATTAACAAAATTCTTTTCTTTTTTTTTTTTTTTTTTTTAAAGTTATATTACATTAATTTGAATTTTTTAGCGAGGCCTATTAATTCCCCTAGTATTGAATTTGTATAATATTTCAATTAATACATTTTATTTCATGTATTTGAGATATATAGAGATACGTTATTTCATCAGTTATGCTTCTAAATAATATTGCTTTTATGAAATGCGTATCACACACACGCACACGCACACGCACACGCACACACACACACACACAGATGCACGCACAGATATATATATATATATAAACCTACAGAAAATATATAAAATTCACCCATGTTTTTTACAAATAAAAAAAAAATATATATATATATATTAAAATCATCCGCGGTCGGAGGGGTAACTTAATATGAAACATTTTTTTTGAAGAGAGTTACTGGATGGGGGAAGGGGAAAGCGTATGGGGGCTTAAACGCGTATAGAAAACGTTTTTATTTCGTTCGTAGAAAAAAGATGACGATAAAAAAAAGAACGAGTCATCCTATCCGAGCTAAGTAAATATAATTCATAAAAAGATCACGTATGCATATATATATATATATGTATATATATATATATACATATATATATATTACGATAAAACTTATATCGATACGCGATTTCACATCAATCGTGAAAACGCTTAAATGCGTTAGAATAATAAATGTTTCCTTTCGTAATGTCCTTTAGGATAATCGATTTTGTTTGTTTATGTTTTTTCTTCTTTCCTCTTTCACTTAGATACCCTGGTTTCGGTAGTTACTTTACTCGGATCTGGTAACCTGACGACTAATTGCGCACCATTTTGCATTGGTCTCGTGCCATTCGACGCGTTTGTCGTTTTACCTATTATCGGTTGAGGAACTGATGGTAAAACTTTTTTCGCACCGCTCAATTTCGGCGAGCAACACTGTTTGTTATCATCGTAATCGTTTAAATTAACATTATTAGTTTGCGATTGATAATTAACAGTCTTGTTAGGTGTATTACTGTGATCGTTAAAAATAGAAGCAGTTCTTTGCTCGACGATGGATTCCGGATTTGAAAAGTTTTGTTGTTGGTGCAACTTCAATGCATTATTGTGATCATTTAAATTGCATACCAATGAATCCATATTGGTCTTAAACAATTGTTCCTTTTGATCAGCGGCTTTGTATATAGGAGCTGAGAGTTGCGTTGAATTTGTCTTATTGGTACTCTTGTGACTGCTCCCCGAATAACTCGTAATCGATTCATTGCAAAAATCGCTCAAATAAGTTTGATTCATATACCAATTGTGTAAACGATGATGAATCTCTGGAAATTGTGGCCTTCGATTAGCTACCTCGTGCCAACATTCTATCATCAAACTATATATCATCGTTGGACAATCCTCTGGGCATGGTAATAATTGACGAGAACGTATCATGTCGATTACCTCTTGATTGTTATATCCGTAATATGGCTGTTTGAAAAGAATTTCATTGTTGTTAAAGATTATTAAAACGAATGTTAATGGAACTGTGTGTTTTCTAACCTGCAAACCGTAACTATAAATTTCCCATAGTACAACGCCGAAACTCCAAACGTCCGATTCCGTTGTAAATTTACCATACAAAATTGATTCCGGTGGCATCCATCGTACTGGCAATAAGCTTTTAGATTGAACTCTGTAATAGTCACTGCTATAAATATCACGTGACAATCCGAAATCGGAAATTTTCACGGTGAGATTGTCTCCTACTAGACAATTTCTAGCAGCTAAATCACGATGAACATAGTGATGGCTCGCCAAATATTCCATGCCTATATAATAAGTAAGTTCGGTTAAAGATAATTATCAAATGTATATCATCAATCGATTGGTTATTTGGATTCCATGGATTGAAATGAATTTGAAACCAACCGGATGCTATTTGCAATGCGATATGAAGAAATTCTGGTTGCTCCAATATCTTTCCAGTTACATTGTTCAATGGAACGTCCGATCTTGGCGAATGACAGATTAAAAATTCGTGCAAATCCCCCTGTGTCATATATTCGAACAGCATACACATTGGTTCACCTTTTAATATAACACCTAACAAACAGATTATATTTGGATGTCGAAGGTCCGTCATTAGATCGACTTCTCTTTTAAAATCACTCTGTGTTTTTGGACTTGCATTCTCTTTTAATGTCTTTACGGCAACATATATAGGTGGTTCACATTTATTGCCAGTCTGCAGTTCACCTTTATATACTTTTCCTGTTGAAAGTGTATAGATAAAAAGAATAGTATAGAGAAAAGAAAATTATTTTATACATAATATATAAGAAAGCGTATCAAATCAATATATTTACAAATTTTAATTTACTTACCAAAAGCACCCTCTCCAAGTTCTTGCAATAATACCACATTATTTGTGGTAAATTGAGGTACTCTGTTATTCGAGGTTCTACTACTGCCACTACTTAATGTCCCTGTACCTGGAGTCGTGTTGCCTGGTCCAGCTAAAAGAGAACTCATTTCCATAGGTTGTGTAGTACTGCGTCTTCCATCATATATGTTTTTGTCGCATTGTATTCCAGTCAACATCTAAAATATGAAATGTACCATAGGATAAAGAAAATCTTGGAGATTCTCGATTGTAATATATTCTTATTACTAACTTTATTTGAGGGTAAGTGATTCATTTGTCTTCTGGACTTTCTACTTCTGTAGCAACAGCAATAACAAATTATTATAGTAACAAACCCTCCCATTAGTACAAAACCAACAACCGCATAAATCCACAAATTTTCAACTGTAAGATAAAATTAAAATTAATACTTATAATTAAAATAATTAATTGTGTAATAGACATATACATACATAAACAGATTGTACAATAACTTACCACATTTAGGTATATGACAAAATTCTTTTTGCGTCCTATTATTAGCATCAACAAAACACCAAGGCTGTATTTCTTGACCAGCCGGATTTCTACAATATGAATGTCGCCCAGCTAATTCGGGATAATTAGAAATGTGAAGCATTATTAGATGAGACCATTTCAAGCAAGGCCTACCACTAATGCTTGTTTTCACTGTACCACGATAAGACTCTCCATTGCCCCAAAAACAGTAATCGTCTGTAAATTAATATACATAACAATGTGTATTCATTTCTATGTATAGAAAGTAATATAAAATTAACAATACTAACTTTCTTGTACATTATTTTTTGTAGATATACCAACGCTTAAACAATCTTGTGCTTCTGGACTGCCTTTAAGTGGTAAATCAGAGCATTCGAGTAAAGGCACTTGTCCAATTAATGGATGTCTCTTTGCAATCGCATATTCTGTCCTACATAATTCATTTTCCAACAGTTCACATTCCTCCCGACATATTCTTCGTAATTTTCGATTCATTTCGTTTTTATTGGACGAACGACTGTCTCCGTAACTTTGATTGATTATTTTCTGATTGCTTCCTTTTCTCTCTTTGCTTGGATTGAATTCAAAACCAGGACCTAACGTAGGACTTCTTTTTCTAGGAAGTCCATGCGTTCTTGTATAATCATCTAACATATCCTCTCCATCACCATCCTCCAAATGTTCATCTTGATTAGACTGAAGACGATTAAACAGTTTACTACTGAATTCTGAGAATTCACTATTCTTTGGTTTTGGATTATTTGGTGGGTTTCGACAAATAGGAAATGTTGAATAACATAAAGATGGTTTGGCGTAGCTTTCACAATTGGAAGATAAATCACTGTCATCACAAAACATAAATGTCAAATTGTATCATTACTACTTTCCAATAAAGTAGTTCTAATAAATAATATGCTTACTTTGAAAAGTTTATAACACCAAAAGCTTGGATCAATTTGTCTTCGAGCGATTTTTGAGTCATTGGATACAAAATGTAAACGGTTTGATTTCCAACAAATTGTGCACAGGTTTTACCCACGTAGATCTGTAAAAAAAAAAAAAAGAAAAAAGAAGATAAAAGAAAACATATAAGATAGTATCCTTACTTTATTAACATTTGTTACTACATAATAAATATTTACCTCACAAGTTCCTTCATGATTGTCTTTCTTCCCAGGTATTGCATTAATACTTGGAAATCCAGCAAAATTTACCATACCTGATGGTACTTGCATATTGACGTTTTTAAGGCCACTGAATGTACTAAAATCCACGGTGCTAGACTGGGAACTAGTCGGTTGTGGACTGGGCGATAATATATTTAAAGAATTTGTGGGTGCCAAATGAGAGATGTGTGGTGTTGACATACCAATCCCTGAGATATCCAGTCTGTTTGTATTATCCATCCTAAAATCAAAGACAATCATTCATGAATTTACCTTAAACTGATTCCCCTTACAAAATATAAACAAAAGCATGAGACTTAACCTCTACTTCCAATTTCAGAATGAAAATATGTATACTTGTTTGAAGTGTGTGTGAGAGAGATAGAGAGAGAAAAAGAGAGAGAGAAAGAGAGAAAAAGAAAAAGGAAGATATTGTACGAGAAAAATAAGAAGAATATAAGGACTTTGTTTTTTATGAATTTATTATTAAGAAAAGTAAGTGACGTTTAACATACAATGTTCACATAACCTCATATAGTAATACATAAATAATAAACGATAACAAAGAACATAAGCGTCACCTTCTTTCCGAAAAGTTGGTAAGATTTTTGGCGATATATAACCCTCGTACAAAAATACAAATATTTTCTAACAATGCTAGGTACAATAGTAGCTTCATTATTGTAAATTTAATTATCAAAACATTAATAATATATCAAATGTATATATTATTTAACACCACACCCGCGGAAGCCATCGGCAAACTAGAATCCGGCGTGTTCTCTGCATTGATAGAAGGGTTATCGCGCGTTTCGAAATGCGCATGCGCAATTATTTTTCTTTATTCTTTTGTTTTGTTTTGTTTTTTTTTTAAACAGTCAATTCGAGAATTTCAAAAGACACGGACGACTTATTGTCATGTTTCCTTTTTTTCGAGTGTATATGGTGTTGTAAATAATGAAAAAAGAAATAATAATAATAATAATATTGAAAAAAAAAGAAGTGATAATTACCCATCGATAAAACTAGATCCAGCAGGTAAACCGGATGAAAATTCGTCGGTGTCCAATGTTGGGTTATCTGAATGTACAATGGGACTAACTGGAGCTGAAAAAGGTAAGTTTTTTCTTTATTTTTTAGGTTAAAATTTTACAAATTGAAATAACTTTGTTTTCTTTTTTATTTTAGCATAGTAAAGAATAAGGGAAACGAATGAGAGAGAAAAAGGAAGAGAGAGAGAGATAGCATAAAGATTTATCTTTTTGCTTTTTTTTACGTAATATGCACGTCACGTTCATTAATTATGTATATATACATATTATACGATTACCAAAAGATTTCTAAACTTGTTCCATTCAAATTCACCATTCAATATTTCACGATAAAACGATATATATATATATATATATATATATATATATATCTATAGAAATATATATAATATATGAAAGTAGTTCGGAATACTCATTTACTGGCTGGCCGTCATAAAGAAAAGGGGATGATGATAAGGGAAGTACATTTATGATGGGTAGAAGCAAGATGAAGGCGAAAACTTCAAAGCACGACGTTTCGTATCATCTTCCAGGACTCAATTTAAGTGTAATATCATCTTACCACGATATACTTTGTTCGTCCTCTCTCTCTCTCCCTCTACTCTTTCTCTTTTTTTTCCTAGCTCTTACTTTTTATATACAGTTACCGTTACTTTTGTAAGTTACAAGACGAAAATCATCATCGTCTTCGTATAAAATAAAACAAAAGAGGAAAAAAGAGAAAGAAAATAAATATATGAATATTCGATATCGATCATGAAACTGATGATGTCCTAATGTAATGTCCTTTTTATACATCCACAGTTTTTAAGGATAATGAAAGTCACTCTCTCTTTTTTCTTTTTTTTTTTTTGGCTGTTCTATACATCATTTTACATATCTCTTTTTCTTTGCTCTTTCTTTTTCTTTTTTCTTTTTTTTATTCTTTCGCACATACCAAAGAGAAAAAGAAAGAAATAAAGAGAAAGAGATCTACTTGCTCGAAAGGTTTACTTTCAAAAACATGTTAAGTTATTTACGTACTTTGCTTAGTCTACAAAAGTTTCACTAAGGCACGTGCTTTCAGTTATTTACTCTTAGGTAACATGATTCACCATCGTAGGCGTCGTATAACGGTACAGAAGAAATAGTTGCTCCCTTCAAACTTGCCACCCACCCGTAACCCACCCTCACTTTTCTCATCGCCTTTTCTTTTTTCCCTATCTAGGGATTTGGTCATGGTTCGTTCGAGGGTAGATTCAGATTTCTGATATTATTTGCTTTTGTGATACTACAGTGTTATTTACGGACAAGATATTTTCTGATTTTGCGTGAGAAAGAGAACAAAGATAGAAGGATATGGTAAAATTAAAGATTAGAACGAGAAAGAAATATTGAGTAACGTAGAACTTGCACTAAGAACAAATATACACGTACGTACATACATACATACATACATACATATATATACATATAAATACATATAGGGTGTCTCTCCCTAAAAACCAATTCCACTATAATATAAACCCAAACGATTACCGTACAAAATTGCTTTTTCTTTTCGATGAAACTCTAAAAAGGAATCGAATAGAGAGAGAAAGAGAAAGAGAGAGAGAGAGAGGAAGAGAGGAAGAGGGCTAAGGAAGCCGTTTGATGTCGTTCCTTCTTGTAAGAAAATTCGTCTATTATGATACCCATTGAAAATGGTTGGACCTCCTTGCCCATCGCCCTCTATCCCTATCATCGCTTCCATACCAGCCATTCCCCTTTTGCCCTCTTCTATCAGTTTTGTATCCAACTACCTATCAAAAGTCTATAAGAGAATCGTTTCAAACGTCACTCAGTATTAACGTTGAAAGGCATGACGTAAAAATGGCATAACGTGCCAACATCACCACCAACCAACCGACCAATGAACCCTCACAGTTTACTCAATTTTTTTCGTACCCATTGACAATCCCACTCACTCACCGTAGACCATAGTCTACTCATCTCCCTCCTTCCTCAACCATAATCGAATGAAAGTAGGAGAAAATCGTGCACAGGGACGAGGGAGTATTGTCGTAGAGGGAAGAAAGGAAAAGAAAGAAAAGAATATAGGAGCAATGAAAATCCTGGAAAATCGAAATAGAAAATGAAATTCTACTAAACGAGATAGAGATAGAGATAGAGAGAAAGAAAGAGATAGAGAGAGAGAGAAAGAGAGAGAGAGAGAAATCCGTAAAATCTGTTGTTCACCTTTTGGTTTACCCAATTTTTGTTTTTCTTTGCTTTTTCTTTTTTTTTCCGTCTCTAACTCTTTCACCGAAAAAAGAAAAAAAAGAGAAAGGAAGGAAGGAAGGAAGGAAGGAAGAAAGAAAAACGAGAGATCGAGCAGATCTCGTTCGATCGTGTGCACCGTTCACCGTATGGCTTATACCTAAATAATATGTATATATGTATGTATGCGAATGGAAGAGCGTGGGTGGAAGGAGAGGGCATCCATGCGAGTAGTGGTAGTAATAGTAGTAGTAGTAATAGTAGTAGTAGAGGAGAGAGAGAGAGAGATAGGGAATGAGAGATCGGATCTCCCTCTCGTAACGTACCTTGTCTCGCGATATCTCACGATCGGTTGATCGAAGGGGCACTTTGTCACGCCTCGCTGAATTCGTCTCAATCCCTGCTTACATCGAATGTTCGAGGGCTTCAGACAGAGGGAGAGAGAGAGAGAGAGAGAGAGAGAGAGAGAGAAATATATATATATGTATGTATGTATGTATACATGTATGTATTGTATATCGACCCCCTTATAAAATCTACGTACGTAACGCATACGTTTATTACTCCAATGCACACTGTCACTAGTAAATAGAGTACTAATAATAAATAAAAAAAAAAGAATAATAATAATAATAATAAATAAAAAAGTAATATTAATAAAGTTAATACAGTCGTTTTTTGGACAAATTTTTTCCATATCGATTTTAATTGACACCATTCAATAATCTTGATAAATTTTTTAATCGATATCATCTTATTTGTTTTATAAGCTCATACAGATAAATACGAATAAATTATACGGATAAATAATAAGGGTTGAATAAATAAAAATAACGAATGCAAATGTTAATTTCGAAATTTCAATTGCAAAATTGTCAAACGAGAAATGCATGGGAAACGTAACGCAAAATAATATTATATTTCAATTTCTCATTAATTTTTCATTTATTGACTATCATTTATAATATTTCACGGAATATACAGTTCGGTATACGTTCCCGAAAATAGAAAATGGTTCAGATCGAATGAATAAAGTTTAATCTAAAAAAAAAAGAACAAAACAAAAAAATTCATTGTAAAGTGTAAAAAGATATGCTAAAGAAAATTAAAATGTTCGATATTAATTATGTATTTACGATGGATTGTTTTTTTTTTTTTTTCATATATATATGTATGTAAAATTATTTTATAAAAGTAATATATATTACGTATTTACGATAGAATGATTTTGTTTATTTGTTTATATATACATACATATATATATATATGTATATTTATATATATTTTTTTAGATAATATTTATTATTATTTTTTTAGCAACGATTCTCACAAAAGATCTTTTCTCTCTCTCTCTCTCTCTCTCTCTCTCTCTCTCTCTTTTTCAATCTCTTTTACTTTATTTTTATTTATTTCTTTTTTTTAATCTCTCCGTAGTAAATTTTGCTGTGTTCCTGTTTCTCTTTCTCTCTTTCCTTCTCCTTTCTTGTCTATACGAAGAACAGCGAGATTTTCTCTCTTTCGTTGCTCCTTCGTTCATTTCCGATGATAAATTTTCAGGGCACACGTAAGTACCACCCAGCTATACAAGTGTTTCTTTCTTTCTTTGTAACTGTGTTAGTGTCTATGTCTGTGTATTTGTGGTCGAACGAGATACGAGATGCATCCTGGCATCGTTACGTCGCACGTCGCCTCGTGCGAACGACACACCACGTAGTCGATCCACGGCATTATGTATCGCAAACAGGAAGTGGAAAAGATAAGCAAAGTCGTAGTCATTAATAACCTCCCCCTCCGTTACCTCTACCAACCTCCACTTTTTTCTATGCTCGAGTTGTACTCTCTTTCTACCCACACTTTTTCTTCCTTTCTCTCTTTCTCTTTCTTCCTTTCTCTCTTTCTCTTTCTCTCGCTCAATCGATCACATTAGTATATCTCTAATCGCTCGTTAATTTAATTTATTCTTGCAGAATTATTAATAAAACAATCCCGTTTACTTATCCATTTTTAATATTAATAATTTTCATCTCTATTTTTTTCTTTTGATACATATAATCCTTCAAAGTCACCCAATGTGTTCAATCTTGAAGAAAACTTATTGTACTTTCTTTAGGAACGTCAGCGAAATATTTTCTTCAACGTAATAACGAGCTCAATATATGACACGAATGGTCAACGACTTTACGTCGGGATGAAAAAGATGACAACAACAACAAATATATATATATATATATATACAAGTATATATGAGAACATTTTAGCTTTGAGTAATAGAAACGATAAAAACGACGAAGCTTCGTAATAATGTATCTTTGTGTGTATGCTCCGTCTTTGTGTCTCTCTCTCTCTCTCTCTCTCTCTCTCTCTCTCTCTCTCTCTCTCTCTCTCTCTCTCTCTCTCTTTCTCTCTCTGTGTCTGTGTGTGTGTATATATCCACCATTACAAGAGAGCAATATAAAAATGCGAAAAGCCCAGCAGGTTCTTAGAAAAGGTAGATAAGCGTTTAAGTAGGTAGGATGATAAAATAAGCCATTAAACTTAAGAAGCCCCTAACGCTTGGTTGTGACATTACAAGAAGAGGTAATGTAATCTAGCCTAATGTCGTCCAATGAAATGTAACGCAACCGTATTCCGCCTTATGTATCACAGCTCGTATAGCGTGGTTTTCCACTATTACGTGAGTCAACGTGCGAGAAAGAAAGAAATAAAGAAAGAAAAAAAAAGAAAAGAAAAGAAAAGATATACAGAATATATTCATATAATAATATTATTAGAATATTATTTCTTAAATGTGAACTCTTTTGCATTAGAATTAAATTT